ATTAAGATGCTTTTCATTGTGTTCTGCCATTGCCCTGTCTAGTGATTAAAGTGCATGACAAACGCAAATTATTGAACATGCCTTGTTTGTTATGGGTGTTCTCTCATCAATTTTCTACTTTCATCGTTTTGCGCAGGCTTGTCTCGAACTCGTTAATTTTCAACTTTAATCTCGAAATTAAAAAAAAAAAAAAATTAGGTTTGCCCCCCATTTGTTGACAATTCTGACATCAAGACGGGCATTTAATTCTTTTCTTTTTGTTGGGCTGACTTGAGCAGGTGTTCATGTGCATTTTACAACTCGGAAACTCTTTTTCTCGATGTTTCCGACACCACATGAATGCAGCAGAAGCTCCAGGGGACGGGGTTTCACAGACCTGCAGGCGAGAGGCTCCGATGCACATTGTTGCACTCACCACACACGCACACCTTTGATGAAGTATGCTATGGTTTACAATGATTTTAGACCAGCTGAGGGGGTTTAACGCTTCTTTATCAAGGACGTGATAATCTCCACTTGTAATGTAGTTTTTGTTTCGTCACATTTTCGTCAATTAGATGATGAAGTTAATTATTCATCAAATTGTCAAATAGCGGAGTTTCGTCTCGTCATCGTCATCGTGGACTAATTTAAAAAGACCTTCGTCACCAAATATTTTCGTCAGTTATTTTGTTGACGAGATTAACACGAGTAGGGCCTCTTTGAGCCAATGAAGTAGAATGATCCTCAGATTGCTCACTCACAACAGTGTTTCAGTTGGCATTGACATCTGCCAGGAAAGTAGGGGAAATGCAAACCCTACAATATTGAATGACTACCGCCCTGTAGCACTCACACCCATCATAATGAAGTGCTTTGAGCGACTGGTCCTAGCACACCTGAAAAACTGCCTCCCACCCACACTGGACCCATACCAGTTTGCCTACCGCAGCAATAGGAGTACAGAGGATGCAGTTTCCACTGCGCTGCACTCTGTGCTCACACATCTGGACAATAACAACACATACGCACGAATGCTGTTTGTTGATTTTAGCTCAGCATTCAACTCTGTCATCCCCTCCAAGTTAAACACTAAACTCGGAGACCTGGGCTTCAACACCTCCCTCCGTCACTGGATAATGGACTTTCTGACCAACAGACCCCAGTATGTTAGGTCAGGACACACCTGCTCCACCACCATCACACTCAACACAGGCGTACCACAGGGCTGTGTGCTGAGCCCATTCCTCTACTCCCTCTTCACCCTCGACTGCAGACCTGTACATGGATCCAACACCATCATCAAGTTTGCGGACGATACGGCGGTGATTGGCCTCATCAGCAACAACGATGACACAGCCTACAGGGAGGAGGTACAGCATCTGGCCTCCTGGTGTGCTGACAACAACCTGCTCCTCAACACCAGCAAGACGAAGGAGCTCATCGTGGACTTCAGGAGAGAAAGAGGAAGCACGCACAACCCCATTCACATCAACGGGATGGCTGTTGAACGTGTCTCCAGCTTCAAGTTCCTGGGGACCCACATCACAGAGGACCTCTCCTGGTCCACTAACACCTCCAGTCTGGTTAAGAAGGCTCATCAACGCCTCTTCTTCCTGAGGACACTGAAGAGACACCACCTGTCTTCAGCTTTACTGATGAACTTCTACCGCTGTGTGATCGAGAGCATCCTGACCAGCAGTGTCTCAGTCTGGTACGGAAACTGCTCTGTCGCAGACCGTAAGGCACTACAGCGGGTGGTAAAAACCGCCCAGCGCATCACAAGGTGTCCACTTCCTGCCATTGAGGATGTCCAAAGAAAACGCTGTCTGCGGCGAGCTCACGGCATCCTTAAAGACTCCTCCCACCCTGCCCACAGACTGTTTACCGTCCTGCCCTCCGGTAGGCGCTTCAGAAGCCTCCGGACCAGAACCAGCAGACTGAGGAACAGCTTTTTCCCCAGAGCTGTCTCTCTACTGAACTCTACCCCCCGAACTCTGAACTCTGTCTCTCTCTCTCTCTCCCTCTCTCTCTCCGCCCCCTGCTGACCCCCCTTTCCCCTGCATATCACCTCACACCCATCATCCCCCCACCACTCCTCTTGGTCACACACACACATCTCTCATCCACCTGTATTATTGTATTATAGTATGTTCATATTATGTCCATATTCTTTATATTATCTGTAAACTAGTATAGCATGCTCACTGCATCTTAATCTGTATATTATAATCCTAAGAATACACTTATATTCATAGCATTTATTTATATTTATAGCATCCCATTAATCCAGCCATCCATATATACCTAATAATTCACTTTTTTTAGTCTACATCTGTAAATTTTGTAATTACTGTACATAGCACAGACTCTTGCACTTTCTGCTTATTTGCACTTCTGGTGAGATGCCAAACCTCATTTCGTTACTCTATACTTGTATATGTGTAATGACAATAAAGTTGAATCTCATCTCATCTCATCTCATCAGTCCATTGGGAGCTTTGCAAGTTTAGATCGGACGAAGGGAATGTAGTGCTACATCCTAATCCAGCCTTTCTCCATAAGGTTCTCTCTGATCAAAAATATGAACTTTATTCTTTCTTCTCTGCACAAGAGGAGCTCAGGAGTGTAAATATTGTATATTTGTTTGTAGTGTCAGCATTGTAAGATTGATTATATTCTTCATGAGGTGTCTCACAGAGTTCTTGAACATGTTGAATAAGTTGCTGGGGGGTTAACATGCTTGAAACTAGGCTAGGTTACATTGTAACCCCGGTTCTCTGTGTGAAGAGACTATCTCTTAATCTTGAGGTTGCTCAGACTCAAGTGTTGATCAGGGAAAACTTAAGTGATATTGCACTGGTCTCATAAATGTATAGGATATCTGGGCAGTCGGCCTACAACTTATCTTGTGTATGTCAGTTATTCACGCTTTCAGGGGTGGATATTCCCTGTAAATACGGAATATGTAACTGGAGAGGTAGTCTCTCCGGTCACAGTTACAAAGCTACCTACAGGACATTCACCTAAGTAAACTTTGAAATGTTGTGAAAGCCATGCAGTTTGGGGTGAAAGACTCACCCTTGAACTCTGGAACTAGGCAGTGACTCACATTTCCACCAGCAATAAATCATGATGAGCTTTATTTTGGACCACATATAATTGTATAGCATCAACAAATTCACCAACAGTGTCAGCAAACATCTTATGTGGGCATGATAGTAATCCAACATATCTTTAATGGCAGCCTCTGGTTTTGTGTTAAGGGATCTAAATTCAGGGATGTCATTGAGCATTTTAGGAACTTTAGTATTTAGATTTTTTTTCTACCTTCACTGTTAAACAAAAACAACATATACCCATAAAATTACATTAAAAGCACCTTTGATCATTCAAAAGAGTGAAGGTGTAAGGTAAGTGTTCATAAATAGTGAGCAGGTTGTTATAGCAGATTATTACAGGGCTGTGGTAAATAATTTCATTCCTTCTGTGAATATAAGAACACTTTGCTAAGTAATGGCAGATCCTGATACTAAAAAAATAGCCTTTAAGTTTCCAGGATGTGAAAACATAAAGTAGGTGATTCTATATAATACTCTGAAAAGTTGAATTTCTTTATATTTTCAAAACAAATGTATTTACTGAGCTGTTACAATGTCGTTTGTGTGTATCGAAACTGTGTCACAAACCGGCTGGGACGGACCTATTTTTTGATCCCCTTTATATCTATCTCTCTTTTCCCTCTCTCTCACCTCCTTCCACTCCTTAAGTAGCACACCTCAAAGGCTGTTGAATAGACAGCATGTTTGTGACTTACGTCAGGTGGATAAAAAGTGCAGCAGCGTTGAGGCATGTATCAAGCATCCTGTCCTCACTACTGCTAATGAAGAACATTAAAAACAGGTGTGATGACACACAAAGCATTCCTTTGTCAAATTAAGATGCTTTTCATTGTGTTCTGCCATTGCCCTGCCTAGTGATTAAAGTGCATGACAAACGCAAATTATTGTACATGCCTTGTTTGTTATGGGTGTTCTCTCATCAATTTTCTACTTTCATCGTTTTGCGTAGGCTGGTCTCGAACTCGTTAATTTACGACTTTATTCTCGTTAATTTACGACTTTAATCTCGAAATAAAAAATAAAATAAAAATTAGGTTTGCCCCCCATTTGTTGACAATTCTGACATCAAGACGGGCATTTAATTCTTTTCTTTTTGTTGAGCTGACTTGAGCAGGTGTTCATGTGCATTTTACAACTCGGAAACTCTTTTTCTCGATGTTTCCGACACCACATGAATGCAGCAGAAGCTCCAGGGGACGGGGTTTCACAGACCTGCAGGCGAGAGGCTCCGATGCACATTGTTGCACTCACCACACACGCACACCTTTGATGAAGTATGCTATGGTTTACAATGATTTTAGACCAGCTGAGGGGGTTTAACGCTTCTTTATCAAGGACGTGATAATCTCCACTTGTAATGTAGTTTTCGTTTCGTCACATTTTCGTCAATTAGATGATGAAGTTAATTATTCATTAAATTGTCAAATAGCGGAGTTTCGTCTTGTCATCGTCATCGTGGACTAATTTAAAAAGACCTTCGTCAACAAATATTTTCATCATTTATTTTGTTGACGAGATTAACACGAGTAGGGCCTCTTTGAGCCAATGAAGTAGAATGATCCTCAGATTGCTCACTCACAACAGTGTTCCAGTTGGCATTGACATCTGCCAGGAAAGTAGGGGAAATGCAACCCCTACAATATCAGTCCATTGGGAGCTTTGCAAGTCGGCCTACAACTTATCTTGTGTATGTCAGTGATTCACGCTTTCAGGGGTGGATATTCCCTGTAAATACGGAATATGTAACTGGAGAGGTAGTCTCTCCGGTCACAGTTACAAAGCTACCTACAGGACATTCACCTAAGTAAGCTTTGAAATGTTGTGAAAGCCATGCAGTTTGGGGTGAAAGACTCACCCTTGAACTCTGGAACTAGGCAGTGACTCACATTTCCACCAGCAATAAATCATGATGAGCTTTATTTTGGACCACATATAATTGTATAGCATCAACAAATTCACCAACAGTGTCAGCAAACATCTTATGTGGGCATGATAGTAATCCAACATATCTTTAATGGCAGCCTCTGGTTTTGTGTTAAGGGATCTAAATTCAGGGATGTCATTGAGCATTTTAGGAACTTTAGTATTTAGATTTTTTTTCTACCTTCACTGTTAAACAAAAACAACATATACCCATAAAATTACATTAAAAGCACCTTTGATCATTCAAAAGAGTGAAGGTGTAAGGTAAGTGTTCATAAATAGTGAGCAGGTTGTTATAGCAGATTATTACAGGGCTGTGGTAAATAATTTCATATAGCAACAGTTTGCTGTCCCTTGATAGCAAGCTGTGAAGTGTTGAAGTTAGAGAAGTCTGCATGAATACATGGCTGCACCTGACCGACTGTTTCTAGCTTGTCAATGTCGAAGTCATTAGAATTAGGGTTTGTGTTTCCTATTTTTATGTGGCAATTTAAATGATATTCAAGCTTTAGGGCCAGTTACAGCATTTGCAGGCTTCTTGGAAGACCAGATTAGCAGGGCAGTTTTGGATCCAGGTGATGCCATTGGCACAGTTGTAAAACGAACCAGGGGCATCTGGTTTGGCATAAACACCACCAGTCTTTGTCGCGCAGAAGTTTTCTGGGACTGTGGATGAAGTTGTGACTGTAGGTCTGGGCTGAGGTTTGTTGTCAGGTTTTTCTTTGCTTGTAGATGGAGTCGCCTGATTTGGGGTTGTTTCCGTAGGGGAAAGGGGAGGTAGATCTGTGGAAAAAAAGTAACTTATTAGTATAATTGAAGTTAACAATAGTCAAGAAATAGATAACCTTTGGATTATATAATTATCTTTTAACCAGCTATATATAATTCTTTTGACCTGAAGCTAAAAGTAAGCGGAGATGGTTGATGAGTGGATAGTTTCCTTGTCCGCAGAACTGTCCATTAAAGTCATCCAGATCCAGAGCCCAGATGAAAGCTCCTCCAAATTGGTTGTCTTTTAGGTAACGCACCTGAACAAAAGCAACATTTTAACTTAACCTTCACATTGAACTTCCTTAGTAACCAAAATGTTTAAAAGACACATGACTACCTTGGTCTCAAAGCTTTCTTTGTTGTCAAATCCAACCCACTCGTTTTGATTTACAGCATATGGAACTTTCTGGTCCTGAATCAAGTAGACACTGGCCCCTTGGAGAAATGTGCAAATCTGAAACAACATTTAATTCAAATTTTACGATCAATTTATTTAAGCCGTGTGACTACAAGATCATGAATTTTGTCGTCATTTTTGATTATTTCACCTCATAATAGGACCAGAAGCCGGCCTCCCTTGTAAAAGCACCAGCAGCAGCTGGACCACTGACAGGTGCTCCAACCTGACTGGACTGACCAGACAGTCTAAATGTTCTCCCGTATGTTGCAAAGCCCATGTTTAATTTTTCAACGGGAGTTCCTTTGTCCCGCCAATACCCCATGGCAAAGTCCTAAAATGTCAATGAAAAGTTGGACAGAAGTCATGTGGAAATGAAAAAATGCAATGGATAATATTGCACTCACTGAGGAAAAAGTCAGTTGGCATTAGAGGACTGTAAAGGATGTCATTACATTGATGATGGAGCTACTAAATTATTCCCTGTACTCACAGTATTTAAGTAAACATGGTCCCCGATGTCTTGAGATCCCTTGTATAATGGGCTATGATGTCCTGTCACAGTCTCCCAGGTGCCATGAAAATCATATGTCATTACATTAACAAAGTCCAGGTACCTGAAACAATGCAAGATGATGAAAGAGTAATAATGGAAACAATGTGAGTTGTAAAACTTTGGCTTACTTTGCCATCTCTGCGATTTCATAACCAGTATCAACGGTTCCTTTTCCAGCAGCCACAGCAGCAGAGATCAATAATCTGGCCTGCCCTGTTGCTCTTGCCTCAGCCTCATAACCCTCCAGGAGCTCCTGCACACCACAGAATCATGAGAAATGGACATCATGGCTTATGTTAAACATTAGTTAAACCCAAGTAACTCTGCGTCTTACCTTGCACAACAGTGTGAATCTCTGCTTGTCCTCCAGAGGACTTCCTCTTGCACCAGGATATTCCCAATCCAGATCGAGTCCATCAAAACTATATTTTCTCAGTAGTTTGATGGAAGACTGGATAAATGTATTTCTGTTTTGTTGCGTTGACACCATTGTAGTGAACCTAGGTATCATTTTGGGGAAGAAAAGTGCACCCATGAAGAATTAAATATACAGATCTTTATCCATTGTGTTTAAGATGAATATCTCACTTTTGTGTTCCAAAGTTCCAGCCTCCGACTGCCAACAGTGTTTTCAGGTTTTGACTCCTATGGGAGTACACAAATGAGTAAACATGCTTTGGTTCTTTTTCATACAGTTTAGCATAGTGTTTGAAAATTAAAGGCTGACCTCTGTTTGAGTCCGTTAAAAGATTTATAAAGTTCATCATCGTTCCATTCGATGGTGACCAACTCGTTTGCTTCATTAATACCAGCAAATGCGTAGATCAGGTGGGTACACAGGTTGGGATCAACATTTAGAGGCATGAACTTTCCATTGCCAGGTCGGTACTGGGACCAGTTGGTGAAATAACAAACCAGTCTGGTGGACGAGACTAAACATGAACAAACAAGTATGGTTTTATTCATCTTTGAGGAATAAACAATGTCAGGTCATTTATCAATTTTGGTCGCTTCTAAGTCCAACGAAAATTTACATTTCATATAAATTATGAACTCACCCAAACTTCCAAAGGAAAGCCAGAAACCTTTAAAATGACAGATTCATTAGAACACATCAAATATTTTCAAACTGTTTGAATAAATGTGATTTACCTGCAAGAAGAATGAACTTGCTCATGGTGTTTGTGCGTAGACAGAGTCCTGAAAAGCTTTCCTTCGTTGAAGATAAATTTACACAAAACATGATAATCATTAGCCAGGAACAAGTTGTTTGACCCAGAGTGTGTTTACAAAGCTGTTGCTTCATTTTAGTCATATAACTACAGTTGGTTTAAAAATTGGACCTGACAAATGTTGTTTGTTTTTGCTACATTTTTCAAACACCTAATTTCTTGTCTTGTGACGTTAAAGCATCTTCCACCTTTTAGATCTTTTAATAGAGGTTTGTGATAATAAGGGGGACATCAGGACAATTTTTTTTAGACTGACATGGTAGAGCTTTAGTGAATGTCAAGGGTTAGTGCCCTGCCAGAAAATAAAACCTCTTCTGACAAATCTCGAATCAGACACTCTTGTGCCTCAGTAGAGTTAGTAGTCAAGACCATAGAGACCATTTAGCTAAGAAGTATTCTCTCGATGTTGTACATAAGAACATCAGTTTATTGTCGAGTCTTTCCTTTGTTTTCAGTGCACTTACTGCTTTGTCACAATCATGCACGAAAAGGGGAATCAGACTTTTTTAATGTAAAGAAAAATACCATAATCAACATTAAAACAGTATTTAAAATAATCACAGAGTTTTGTTACATGAATGAGGTATTTATTTAAGCCCAGTCGCAGCATTTACACTTTTCACTAAACACAAGATTCGCTGGACATTTCTGGAGGTATGTGGTTTCGTGGACGCACTGATAGAAGGAGCCGCTCTCCTTGTCATTTGAGTAGAGGCCGTCTGTTTTCCCGCCACAGAAACCACTTCCAGGAGCAACTGCTGAGGTTGTAGTGTGAGCAGTGGTGGTTGTAGGAGCAGCGGTAGAAGCAGATGTTGCAGCAGGCGTGGTGTTGCCGTGGCCCGGGCGGCTCGTAGTGATCACAGGTGGACGTGTGGTTACAGGAGGTGAAGGTGGAAGGTCTGGCAATATAAAACATATTTTAAGTCAAGAGATTTTTTTCTTTATGTCCAGATGATTTCACTTTGACATGTGATCCAGGTGTTGGGGACCAGTTTACCTGAATTCAGAAGAGAGCGCAGATAACCAATGAGAGGATAGGGCCCTTGTCCACAGAAGGTTCCAGAGAAGTCATCCAGATCGAGAGCCCAGATGAAGGCTCCTCCATATTTGTTATCTTTCAGATACCTTGTCTGTGGAAAATCAGGAACAGAGAGTACTTTGGTTATTTACAGGTTTGCTATTTCAATACTGACAACTCTTACCAATGTAAAATATTTTTTATATTTATTTATTTTATTTTTGTATCTTTATTTTTTTACTTGTTCCAGAGACAAGTCAAGGATAGAAGCTGACTTTAAAAATATATTTTATTTTTTATTTTTTATGGAAAGCAGAGTGTCTGTTCATACATAAGATGAACATATAAAATGCTGTAAACTGGGTCAGTTACAAGAGAATTGAAAGTGCTACAGTTAAAAAATGTAAGTGGGTGTCACAATGCTGACACCATGAAACAGGACCAACACATTGCTTCATGCATGAGTAAAAAGCATAAAAAGATCTGCACACAATGCTGATTTAAAGTCAATGAAGTCACATTTCAAACTCAGATTTTTGTACATTGTCAAAATAAAATCACTCTATAAGAGCAGAATAAATGGTAAATGGTAGATGGACTTGAGCTTATATAGCGCTTTGAAATACGTGTATTGTAAATCATTTGTTTGAATGATGAATGAAAACTTTATCGCCCCTAGGAGAATTTGCCTTCCACTTAGAGCACAAAAACACAACGTATGTGACAAAAGATGCAAAAATCATATACAGGACTGCACATAAAAACCTAATCTGAAAAACTAACAAATGAAAATACATTAAAGCACTGATATAGGAATTTTAATAGCAAGTTCAAGTGTGCCAAGTTCAACCTGTTTTTCCATAGAGGTGTGGTGTCTCCTTTAAATCACAAGTTAAGTAATGTTATTGTGCAGCATCTGTTGAATAATTTTGGATGTGCACACTGCAGACTTTGTGTCAACATGGAGTTGGAGTTTCACCTCGAAAAAAATGTACACGCATGGCTACAAAAAGGAGTGGAATTATAAATTAAGCTGCACGACTGCAACCTATACCTACTATCTCTTTTAGGTGCTTCATGAACAACCACTTACAGAAGACTGAAAACCTGAGGCCATATTTGTCATCTTACAGTGCCACCTTCTGTTCATTCAAATGTATGAAATATTGTGTTTAACAGCTTTGTTGTTGTCATCTTTACTCAATGCCAAATCAATATTGTGATAGCAGGAACATAGAGAAAGTGATACATTGGCATTATAATTTTATCTCCATTGATGTGAACGCATATAAGTTCTTAATTACCTTGATTTCAAAGCTCTGCCTGTTGTCAAAGCCAACCCACTCATTTCCTTTAATAGCGTAGGGAACACTTTGCTCATCAATCCAGTGGATACTGCTTCCTTGGATGAAAGTGCAAATCTGTAGAATCAGAAGAAAAATATACTAAAACATCCTTAAAAATACTTTTGATATCTCAGTCTTTAACATCTCCCCATTTCATTAGAGTGTTGTACTAAATTGACATGTCTTTAAATGCTGCTTTCACTGACCTCATAGTAGGACCAGAATCCAGCTTCCCGGGTGTAAGGCCCAGCAGAGGCCGGTCCGCTGGCTGGTGCTCCAATACTGTGAGCCAGTGATGTTGTGCGAAATGTGCGACCATACGTAGGGAAACCAAGGATGAGCTTTTCCAGAGGAGCGCCCTTTTTTTCCCAGTAATTCATAGAAAAGTCCTGTGAGGTTAAATAAACACAGAGATTACATATAAAATGCAAAGAAATGTCATGTTACATTTCGTTACAAGAATAGGATTTTTTGGTTTTACTTACAACATTGTAGAAGATGTGTTCACCCTGATCCCCTGAGCTGACGTACAGAGGGCTGTTGTGACCTGTGAATGTGTCCCAGGCTCCGTGGTAGTCATAGGTCATGACATTTATAAAGTCCAAGAACCTATAAGACACAGCATGATGATGTGAGAAAATATAAAATACATTTGAAAAAACCCACCTATTTTTACACATTTTACACCACAAATAGGCTGAGAAGTTTATCATGTGTGAACTGTCCAAACTTTCACAAATGATGAATATCCCCAGACAATTCACACTTCCTTGCAATTTGTTGATACTCTTCTAAGGAAACCTTGATACACATCTGTATTTAATAATACACGTTTTATGCATTAAAATGTCATACGAGGAATGAACAGGATATTTTTGCATAAACTTTCCTTCTTTTTTTTCCCCCTAAGTTTACACATTTTATTAAAAAAAAGGGGACTTCTGTATGCATGCATTTGAATTTACAATCTACTTAAAGAGTTTACAGTAGAAGTACCTTTCTATAGTTGTGATTGTATCTGTCTAATTTCCACATATATTGAATTAGTCATTTGTTTTGGGGTGTTTATGACCCAAGTTACCAAAACCTACCATCAAGGAACTTATCAGGCTATCATTGTGTGAAATGCATAAATGTAGGTCTGTTTTTTACTTGAGTAGCTTTAACACCTTGTGATTGTTATTGTGACTACATTTCATTAATGTTAGTTTGCTTATTGCTCCCTACACAATCTGATGTGCATATAGCTACCCTACCTACCATTTATTTCTAGCACTTTGAGATTTGCTTCAAATGTAAAGTGCGTTATAAATAAATTGTATTTTTTTATTATTGTAATTAATATTACTCTAACTGCCCTTTTTTTCCTAAATGGCTAAATAGCCCTCCGTTACTGACACTCACTTTGAGACTTTAGCAATCTCGTATCCATTATCAATGTTTCCTTTCCCAGCAGCCACTGCAGCTGTGAGCAGCAGTCGTGGTCTTTTGGTCTCAGCTGCTTCTTTCTCAAAGGCAGCCAGTAATTCCTTTGAATAAAAAAGATAAATATCACCCTTACAATATTAACAAAGCAGTATATTTCAGAACACAATCCTTTTAGTTTTCGGTCTGTTCTGTTGAGATGTGAGGTGTCCAATGTCAAACTGACCCTGCAGAGCACTGTGAACCTCTTCTTGTCCTCTGGGGGGCTTCCTCGTGCTCCGGGGTACTCCCAGTCCAGGTCTAGCCCGTCAAAACCGTGCATTCTCAAGAATTTGATTGAAGACCTGATGAATGTCTGGCGGTTGGCAGAGGATGAAACCATGATGGTAAATCTGTCAACATTGAAAAAAATAAATACATTTCTAGCTTGTCTGTTGAAAATGTTAACATTTCATGAGATAATGTAATCAGTATAATCAGCCTCGTGGTTCATAGCTGTTGTGGACTTACTGTGGGGTTCCAAAGTTCCAGCCACCAACAGCCAGGAGAGTCTTCAGCTCGGGGTTTCTGAGCAAGACAGAAGCCAAAACATGAAAATTTACCAAGACTAGTTACAAAACAGGTCAGTTCAAAATAGTCTTTGTCATACCGTCGACATTTGTATTAAATGTAGGGGAGCATTCTGAATATTAAAAACAGTAAAGATTAACAAGAAATATTAAGGACACATTTCCAAAAATTAAAAAGGTATTTAGTGTTGCTGTACAAATAAAAAAGCTGTCCTTGGCTTATTGAGTAAATAGAAACAATTTAAACTGCATATTCCCTTAGCGAACCAGTTTTTAATTCAAAAATCTCCCTGTATGGAAAAATTGAATTTACCACTGACCCAAAGACACTTAAACATCCAAATGATCATGGCCGCTGGTGTAATAACTTGAAGATATGACTGAGGATAGATTGATACTAGAGGTGGAAACATTTCACCTTTTTTTGAGTCCGTTGAAAGATTTATAGAGGACGTCGTCGTTCCACTCATAAGTAGACAGTTCGTTAGAGGGGCTGATTATTGAGAAGGCGTAGATGAGGTGTGTGCAGAGGTTGGGGTCTACATTGGATGGCATGTATCTGCCAGCACCTGGCCTGTACTGGGACCAGTTGGTGAAGTAGCACACCAGTTTGGTAGAAGAAACTTCAAGAGAGGGTAAGAAATGATCATTCAATTTCTATTGTATTCAATTTTTCCAAGACATTTTCAGTGACATTTGGAAAGGTTAGAAGCTGAAATACATACCCAGTTGAAGGCACATCACAAGGGACAATCCTAAAAAAGACAAGACAGTTGATTTCAGTTTTTTCTCTTCACAAGATTACTACCTTTAAATAAGTGGAAAATAAAGTGTAGGAATGAAGGTTACCAGCTAAGATCGAAAGTCGAGCCATCTTGTGTTAAGCGAGCCTTTTTCACAGAGTGACCTGAAAAACTATATACATTTTTGTGTCAGGCTCTTTGATAATATCTTGCAAAAAATAATCATTCAAAAGATTTTACTTAACAGGTTGTTTAACCAGAGAGACTTAAGGAGAGATAATCAGAATTAAAAAGATGAAAATTGAACCATTGTGATTATTTCAACAACCAACCTCTTCTCTTTCTAAGATTATAAATACGCTTCATCAAAACATTTCAATATCTTGCACCATAGTGCTTCTATTTTTGTCAACTTTGTCCTGGTGTGCACAAACCTTTTTACTAGTAACAGATACCAAAGCTTCCAAAACCTCTGTGTACTAATGACTTACCTGTTCCCAGGCGACTGGCTGGCTGGATCTGCGTCTGATTCTCCAGCTAGTCCTGTATTTTATAGCCATGATAAGAGAGGTACAAAGGCTGCATGCCTGTGAAGTCTAAAGGATGCTCCAGAGGAGGATTATTGTCTCTGTGAAGGTGATCATGTTAAACGGCAGTAAATCATCAGAAGATGACTAGTGATGATATTGCGTAGGTTTTTTTTTTTTTTATGGCCAAAGGATATGAGGTTATGTACACTTGCCTCTGTGAAGTCAAACAGGTCAACTCATGCAGATAAGACAAACTTGATAAATAACCGATTCATTGTTTTTTATGTAACTTTCGGATTAACATTGTTACCATGGTGAGAACAAACAACAGAACCTTTCTGTGCCTTAGATCAAAATAATTCACGGTAACATTTGTGGTTCTTCCCTCCTTCCCTCCCCTCTGCCCCCACGAACACTGGACGTTGAAACCCCCTCCCGTTTGCCACCAAGAACTCTGGACTAATAACTCTGAAGCTAACTATTCAAAAGTACACTCAGTTTACTGCACATTGCACAAGTTTACAGAACTCTGGACTAATAACTCTGAAGCTAACTATTCAAAAGTACACTCAGTTTACTGCACATTGCACAAGTTTACAGAACTCTGGACTAATAACTCTGAAGCTAACTATTCAAAAGTACACTCAGTTTACTGCACATTGCACATATTGCACAAGTTTACTTTTTCTTTAAATTTTATTTAATTTATTTAATTTACCATTTTGTACCTTTTGCAAAATTTAGAATTTATTACTGTAAATATTATTTATCTTATTTTTACCTCATTTTATTTTATCTATTTTACCTTATCTTATTTTACCTTATTTTGGTTGAATTGCACCGCGGGACGGAGACAAACGCAATTTCGATTCCACTGTATGTCTGGCATATTTTGAAATTGACAATAAAGTTGACTTTGACTTTGACTTTGATGTCCTACTGCTTACAGCCTTTCTCTTATCAGTCAGGTTGTAGAAAAATGTTCTTTGTCTTGGACTTAAGTTAAATTGGCTTGTGTTTGTCCACAGTAGGACTTTCATATATTTACTCCATTCATACAAAACTTCAAACAAATCAGCTAGACAAGTAGCAGCACTGTGATAGTTGATTCATCTATTATTTTCCTCAATCAATCGCTTTGTCAATGATATGTAAGTCAATTCCCAACGTGACAACTAGGATCAACAGTACCAGTGGAAAAGATTTTCAATATTCAATATTCAAACTTACCATAACCATAGTTTGGTTTCAAATGCTCACATCAAAGATGTAAATCTTTTTTTCATTCTATCTTGACATCTTTTTAATGGGTTTAACTAATACTCATTACATTTTTGACCACAGTTTGAAGCATCATAGATGTTTATATCTAGATTAGCCCTTGCAAAGCATAGTATGAGTCTAAAAATATCAAATTTCTTTCTATGCTTCCATCTTCATCCTGAAAAACATTGCTTTTTTAGTCTTGTGTTATTTATAGCAGGACAACAGTTTAAAGCACTTCATGCTTTTGTTCAAAACATTATAAGCAAAATGATTGTTGTAAATTGGGGGCAGACAAAGCACATCTCAGTTGATCCTTTCAACAAAATAATTTACAAATGTTTAGACATAATACTTTCTTGGCATGTTTTGATGTCCTGCAGATTTTAAATCTTTGAGGAATTCAAAAAGGAATTGGCTTGTACAGTATGTTAATGTATATCTTTATCTCTTTTTCCTGCAATCACAGGTGCACAAAGATAATAAAAATGTAGTTTTGAGTCCAAACAGTACAGTATCGTATCGTAGGCCCAATAACAAGGATAGGTTATTAGATAAGATGTCCTTTACCATTAAGGTGCACTATAAGCTTGATGACGTTACCATGAGTTATCTTATCCCAGCGATAGGCCAGAGTTCAGAGAGTATAGTTTAGGTTTTGCTTTATGTTCAAAGACCACAGTCCTGCATGAGCATGAGCAGATCATGTCAGGTTCATGTCAGCAGACCTCTGTTTTCTTTTTTTATAAACCGTAAAGTGGATTGAAATGTGAAGTTAAGGACTGCTGCAGGGTGCTCGGACAAAGTCAGGGTGTGTTTCTCACACTAAACACGCTGGATTGGATTTACTCAAATTAAAGGTGTCAGAATATTCATTGCATTTTCTATGCCAAGTGCTTTAAAACAATGACAGTAACATGACTAGTTGTGAGGAAATGAGAACGTCGATACACACCACATCTAAATTGTTACTAACCAGCTACAGCTAGCGGATAGAGGAAGTTACTGGCCTAGTCTTGTAAATAACCTCCTGTAAATGAAAAGTTTTCAGTTCAAGTCTTTACTTTGTGTACAAATTAAACTAGCTTATTGAGGACCTGTAGAGGTGCCTTACCTTTAAATTTGAACTGCAATTTCATGGTGTTAGCTTGTTAACATACTGTACAGGCAGTCCTTGTCAACCAACTCTGAGATAAAGGGAAGATCATTCAAAATGGTAAAGTGTTCTTCCAGCTTTGAGGTTAAAACTAAATATATGACTAAGTGCAAACATTGTACAACAGTTTGTTCCACCATGGGATATATAACTCTGCAGTTGTTCTTAATACTATTAGTCTAAATAATGTTGTCTCCACATCATAGCAAACTTGAGGCATGTTTATCTCAAAAACAAACAAATCCAATTTTGACTTGTTACATGACACACACACACGAAATAGCAAGTTTGCAGAAAAATGCTTACTAGTTGGCTTTTCCAGTTCCAGTCGTGGTTTTCTTGGTAAAGAAACATAAATGATTACATAAATCACTGACATCTACCAAAGGACTGCAGATGCAAATTGCAATTGCAAAATTAAAATTATTAAAATAAAATCAAAAATATGTAATCATTCAAAACATTTAAACATGTTGCTAGATTACTATTAGATTGTATAGACTAGACAAGTGTTTACTTAAAGCTTTTTTCTTTTGCTCTGAATATTAAGAAAAAAAAAAGAAAACAGACATAACGAATACCCTTGAAATAAATATTTCCACTTTATTTACATTTAGGACATATCTGCATTGTAATACACAGATGATCTAGGGGTAAAATAAACTAAAGCTGTTACATCATCATTAATTTTGTCTCTATTGTAAGTAAAGGGGATAACAGTTAAGGCAAGGTCAGAAAGAAACATGAATATTTTCTTATTTACAACTGTTTATGCATGCAAGCTGATTCCTCAAAATGGTTTGACCCTGTGAACTGGCTGTGCAGATGATAGTTTATCTTTTGAGATATTTTATGATCTTTTAATCCTTTAACTCCAACACTTACACTTTTATAGTTGTTGTCCCTAACACCACCTCCATCATTTACCCTCCCTCCCATAGTTATGTAATCAGCAGGAATACAAAAATAACACAAACTTCATTATTAGAATGACATTAAATAAGAATATTAATAAAAGAAGTTCAGTTGGTCCTTGCAAATGCCTTTATCAACATGATAAACTGATCTCTGTCTCCCTTAACGTGCAGCGTCTATTCCTTGATAGCTGATCATGCACCGCATTTTTATTTACAGGATATGAAATTCCAAACACAAAAGCTAGCTTTTCATCAGACAAATAAGCATATCCGCTTTATAATTGTCCCAAGAACTCCATCATGTTCTACTTTAAATGAATGAAAGTTTCTTTGCCTGCCAGCCCACAGAAGGTAACATCACCTCCGGCGGTTGCTGCTGCTGCTCCCCCCGTCTACAGAATAAACCACACATTTTTAAAATTGGAGTTGGAGGCCACAAGCCTGGAAAAGTCACATGAAAAGAAGTTGAATTGAAATCAGGATTGCAGTTTCATGCCAGGGAGTAGATGGCATTCATTGGAGAGTGGAGCTCCACACTTCCAACACCAAAGTCCACCTCCCTGACGTCTCTCCTGGTTCCTGTGTACTGGCCGATGAACGAGCCGTCTTCATTAAACTGTATCTCTCCTCCTTCACCGTAGTCCACCAGACTGTCGTCACTGTCTGAGCGCTTCATAATTGACTCGATAGACGTCTGGCCTCTTTGAAGTCCTCTTTCCTCCTCTCTACAAAAGTATGATTTAAGATAGGCTTTATTTCAGCAAGAGGAAACAGAAAATACTGATAAAAATCAGCCTGACGTTGCAGTACATAGGACATGGACATACCGTCGAGGGTAGGGCAGAGTGGAGACACGGGCTATCCTGAAAAATGAAGAGAACTTGTTAGAAATCAGCTTTAAATTACATTTAATCAATAATCTTTAGTACAGTTTATTTTTGTGTGAATTTGCTATTTTTAGCTCCAAACTCCTGTCAGTTAAATATTGTATGAACAAGGGGATGTTTATACCCTGCAGGATTTAAACACTTTAATATCAATAGTGTCAATGTGTTGGTGTTTAGTCATTTCATACCTTTCAAGAGACCTTGAGTGATTCAGTGGAAAAAGAACCGGATTGAGGTTTGGGGGGGGGGGAATAAGGTTTAGATAGAGAAGGTAAATTGGGAGAAAAAAAACAGAAAAATAATATAAGTAAGGTCAAAGCGTTATCATAAATAAGACCATAAAAACTTTAAATTGGTTTGATCTGTATCTGTGCATCATACTAAAATGTAATCAACTCTTGAGCACATGTTAGAATCAATTGTATTTATTTTAATTGATAAAATCCAAACAGATATGAATAGGCCAACACATACTTGTTCTAACCGAACAACATTTGTAAAAATGATCTAGAAGGTCTTATTTTGGCAACCAAAGAGTAGATAAAGCCTCTCCAGGTTGGGAGTTAATGATCCAGACAATGTGGGTTTGATGATTAAAAAATCTCAAAAGGAATTCAACTCATCAAGTTTGTCTGACATCACGGATAGAATCAGTGTGGGTTTTTTTTTTTTTCTGAGTAACACAGAATGTAAACACAATTTTTGTTTTCAGGGAGACCCTGATTAGGAAAGCAGATTTGTGATGCACAGCTACAGGGCAAACATGTGTAAATACATAATGATGATAGTGCTGTTCAGTGAATAAATACTTCTGTGTTATGTAACACACTTAATGACATATGAAAATAAACAGTGAAGCAATATGGCAGAGCAGACTTAAAAACTTTTGTGAAATGTACTCTATTCCTTTTTTTTTAATCTCAGTCTGCTGTCATTCTTACCGATAGTCAAATGATCCCTCCTGATCTTTGTCATCCATCGGCTCCAGTGAAATGTCTTTCTTGTCTCGAACTGAAATTGAAACAAGCAAATATAAAATATACAATGTGGTGCTTTTGGACATCATTGACTATGAGTAAACAAAATGTACCTGGGTATTTCCCCCCTCTGCTCCTCTTAATGAAGCACACTATGAGTAGGATGAGCACAATGAGAGCCACAGCACACATAATCCCGATGAACCAGCCCTGAGTGGTGATGTCCACCTGGTCCGTAGCATACGCTGAGATACACACAAGAACATGCGCGCACCTTTTAGTCCACACCGAATCTAAGTCAATGCTTTGATTAATGATAAACTAAGTGTGTTCATTAATGGAAAAGGAGAACATTACTTTCAGTGGTATAGTGAGGTGACTCCTCAGTATGCCACTCTCCTATCCCGAGCCGAGTCCGAGCAGCCACAGAGAATCTGTATCGAGTGTAGCGGTCGTATCGCCGCATTGAGAAACTTGTAACATTTGGAGGAAAGTCCTCCACCCGCAGCTCTTCTCCCCTGGTGGCATTTACTGTGGAGAAAGTAGAAATTACAGAGCGTTAAGGAGGAGCACTCTTAATGCTGGTAGAGTGCACACAGTTGAGCTATTAAGTACCTTACTTGTTCAGAAAGAGCCTACATAAGTGTTCATTACACCTTCAAGTACACGCTTCAGTGCTACTTAAGTCTTTGAGTGCATATTAAAGTCTGCCATTATATACTGCAGGGATGTGGACCCAAGTCTCATGTGAAAACCTTTTTATATCTTTGGTAAAATAAATATTTCTTCTTCAGTTTCTCCTTGGACTGAAGAACACATACGTTATGCTTTGAAAATGAAGTGTGTGATGACAGAAAAATCTCATGGGGGATTGGAGTGTTTCAGATGTAGGGATGGCGTACCGGTCTGGTACTTGAGGGAATATCCAGTCACAACACCATTGGGTTCAGCTGGCAGCTCCCAGTCAACATAAATGCTGTCTAAATGCCGCTGCTGGATCCGGAAGGATTTTGGAGCAGATGGTACTACGGACAGAAATGCAGCAGGAGACAACAAATATTAATTTGTGATCCGATAGAGGGCATGATCCCTTGTTATTGGATGGTCATTATGTGACTTAATTACCTCCTTCAGGTGTTGAGAAGTGTATGTAATTACTGGGCGGACCTTCGTATCGATTGTTCGTTACCACTATATACATCTTGTAGTTGCTGTAGGGTATGATTCCTGTGAGGACGCCAGAAGGCTCTGGGCCATTCTCTGGAAATGATTTGGACTTCATAGCTCTGTTGACCCTTAGCCACCTCAGCTGGCTGCTGTCCCTCCAGTAGTACACCTGAGAGATGACAACAACACACACAGTATTTCAACAGTCTGGGAACAATAGATTGATATTTTTATGATAACTTAAAAGAGATTACTTTTCCAAAGCAGCACAGTATATCCCCATTTCTTGTTATTTATCAACACAAAATTAATTTCCATTACCAATATTTGTGTCACAATAAACTCACCTTGTATTCCTTCAGTTCTCCCATCATAGAGTTCCGTTTCACTGGGTCCCAGTGCACGGTCACCTGGGTGCTCTCGATGTCAGACACTCTCAGGTTCAAGGGTGCAGTTACAGGACCTGAGGAAGACAGGAAACAATCAGCACTATCAGTGACAGTTTGTCTAGCAATAACAATACTGCTGTGCATGTCATAACATAAGGAGAAAAAGTGTATGAAAATACAAGTAAGAGCACAAACATACAAAATTTTGCATGTGAAGATAGATGTATGCAGAAAATACACACAAAAATAAGAAACCTATAGTCTTTTGGAAAATATAATAACTTGGAAAAAAAACTCTCTCGACTATGAGAGACTATACTGTAAATAAAAGAGCTGACGTTAAAGAAAACTTGTTTTTTCCTTTTTTTTATTAAATTGTGTGGCTTTTACTGCATTTATCTTAATGTAATTAAACAAAACAAAATATTAGGAAATGATATGTCTTTTTTTAATTAAAGAATTAATCAAGAACTGGAATGTCCTTCTTTACATTTAAACTGCTCAAAACAAAGTTAAGTGCAAATTAAAACAAGAAATAGAATTACAAAAGAAATACACCTTGATACGCATTTTTATTTGCTCCCATATATCAGTTAATATTTAGGTTAAGATGCTTTGAGAAAAATATTTGGTTTCAAGTACTTTCCATTGCACATATTTCAGCCATCATAAAAATTGTTATTTGTAAGATGTTTGGACAAACAAGTGGAAGTTTTGAGTGTGTAGACGACTAAATAACATTTTATTTGACATTTTATTGGTTTTACTTCCTTTTTAATGATGCAGCAGACTGAGGTACTCACGGTCTTCTCCTGAGTAACCAGTCACAACAGGAGACTCGGGACCCAGCCCAAAGTCATTGACAGCCTGTACTTTTATATCATAAGGAGTGAAGGTATCGGCATCGTAGATGTAATATTTCAGCCATTTGGTGGTTGCATTCTTCCACTCCTCTCGAGAATCTCTCCTTTTCCACCACACCAGATACTTCAGGTGGGGTCCATTCCACTCTCTGTACGTCAGAGGCTGAACAAGGGACCAGCATTGAGTGACATCACAATGGTAAACATTGATTAAATGAAAAGTAAAGACAGATAAGACAGTTTTACAGTTTTAGTCTTTATTACCTCCCAGCTGATCTCCATATTGTTCCTCCATGTGCCAACACCCTTTAGGTTCTTTGGAATAACATCTGGGGCTGTGGGGGAAATAAATATCAGTTTTCAGATCATTGGTTTTAAAGGAATAGACAAGCATTTCAGGAAATATGCTAATTCACTGTATTTTTTTGCATCAGTTATATCTTATAGCTATAGCCAGAAGATATAAGCGTTCCTAACATAAAAACTGGAGCAAAGCTACATTTCCCCCACTAGAGTACTTTTAGGATTTTTGCGAGGCTATATTAACCATCTCCTCCAAAGCTTCTTTAACATTACGATGTGAGAGTGGAATTGACTTTCAAATACAACTCTCAATTGTAAATCGAACCCTGTTTAGGAAAAATAATCCGCTAAACTATCTGCTGCTCCATTCCTTTTGTCGCTATGCTTTGCTAAGCTAAGCTAAGCAAACTGTCTTCTTACGAACATAACTATAAGCGTACAGACATGGGAGTGAAAATTATTTTCTCATTCAACTCTCACTTTTAATCAAAATAGTCAAACATTTCAAACAGTTCCTCTAGATTGTGCCAAAACTTAGCTTTTTGCTAGCTTAAACCTGTGTCTGACAAAAATAAATGTATTTTAGAACCAAACCCACGTGCACCGCTGCTCTGAAAGCGCTTAGATGGACGACTGGGGCGACTCATCCCGATTTCATTGATAGCGATGACCCTGAACTCGTAGTAGGTGAAAGGGGTAAGATGCAGGATGACCGAGTTAAGGTTCCCCGGGTACGTTGAGAGGTTCCTCCACTTCCCAGGTAGCCAATCATCATCGTCATATTGTACTAAGTACTCTGTAACAGGGTGGTACATGGAGAAATGTCTGAAATAATATAACTCACAAAATGTTTTAATCTTTGTAAGTTTCTGTAGTTGAATGGCTCTGACCTGTAACAGGGTTGTGGTTGCTGGCTCCAGGAATCCAACTGAGTCTTACACTACGTTCATATGGATCTGATAACTCCAAGTTAGTGGGAGGTTCTGGACGGTCTGAACACAAACGAAATGAACAATTAAAAAGCTAACGTGCTGTATGATTGATGAAATGTCGCTCTTTTTAAGCATGTCATACCCATCACCATTAGGCGTGCTGAGGCAGACTTCTGGTCCAGTTCACTCTTGATGATACAGGTGTAATTTCCCTCATCGCCTCTGTTCACATTTGTGATGACCAAATTTGATTCATCCAGAGAGATCCTGAAGATTGATTAGATGGAGGCAAAAACTCAAAATCAGAACGCTCATTGGTTCAAAATATATAAAAGAAGGGGTCTGTGTCAAAAAAAATAAATCTGCATGACTGCTAATGGCCAGCAAGAGGCATCTGTTTAGATTTACGAAACCAGATATGAAAATGAGCCTACTTATTCCATATTATTTATTATACCGTATAAATATATCATCTCAATGACTAGTTTCCAGTTTTTTTCAATACTTATATGTAAATCTTGGTCCCATTTTGATTAAATTTGAATGAAAGCAGGGTGCGCTTTAAGGAGTTGCAACCTGTGATTGACAAGGTCATAAATCCGGGTAATAGATATAGCAATATGTATTTACCCCATTTTTACTCCTTGCTGCAAAGACTTGGAAGGCCAATATGTGACAAACCAAAAGAAATGTTCACAAACCAATGTGTAATGTCACCAAGGCTACATCCACTTCTTATATCCAGTCTGTGGTTCTTACTGGAGCATTAATTGAATTTAAATTGTTTAGAACCATTGCATGAATCTTAAAAGTCATACCTCCAGCCATATGTTACCATCCTTTTGTCTTTCATCCATGAGGTGGTGACAGGAGTCGTGAGATCTGCTTTTACACCACACTCGAAGCGCACATCAGTTCCTCTGATGACTTTCATACTCTGTGGTCTGGTTACAATTAAAGTAGGCTCTGAGAAGAATTGAAGAAAAACATGATGGACCCAACAATCAAGAAGTTTAAGGGCAAGATTTTTGGTAATAAACGGTATCCCCCACACCTTTGACCTCTACTCGGATCTGACTCTCATCTCTTCCTGCCAGGTTGCTGACTATGCACAGGTACGTTCCCTGGTCCTCTATCCGTATGTGTCTGATCTCCAGAGTCCCGTTACTGTGGGTGTTGAAACGATTTCCTTCAAGATTCCCTTGTCCATATTTGGACCTTGGTGAGCAAAAGCACACAAAAAACACTTAGGTCACAAACACTTTGAGCTAATGGCTTAACTCTCTCTTTTACATGCAAGTATTAAAACAGCACAAACTCACCATCGCAAGTCAGGTACTGGTGAACCAAAGTAGCGGCAGTCTAAGAAGGTATGACTGCCCTCTATAACCTTGATGAGTTCATTCCTTGGCCCAATAATACGAGGCGTTGCATCTACAAAACACATTTAAAACCAATCATTTATTTCATTATAAAATATGAAGCCTTTACTGTATTGTTTTTGTAACCTTTTTCCGTTAATCTTGTAGACCAAGGACTGCATAGACTAAAACATAAAAATGCTTAAAGCGCCTGTGAGGAGTTTTTATCTGGTTATGAAACAGGCTGGTATCAATGTCAATGCCTCTTTATGAGCTACAAAAGCAAACGAGAACATCAGCACAAAGATTGACTTTTCTATTGATGCCTGAAACAATTGCTGGGGGTTTGGTGTCAAACAAAGTGATTAACAGCACACTGCTGGAACAGCCTTTTTTATTAACCCTTTTTTGACAGCAAAAATTCTCAATGAACAATGTGTTTGACTGTTCAAAATAAGCAGTTTGAGCTTTAAAATATTCCTGAGAATAGATAGTTTTAGGGATTTTTATTTGCAGATTCCTTGGTAAAGCTCTAAAAGTCTTTCACTACGTATGACTGTGAAACACAAGCTTTTACACTGTAGAAATCATGGATTACAGAGTGGTAACGTACGTAGCACGTTGACGAAAGCATTGGCCAACAGGTAGCCATACTGATTGGAAGCATTGCACTGATAGACGGCATTGTTTGCAGCCGTCACACCACGCAGAATCAGCGTGTCTCCTGACACCTGTCTATTAGGCTGTGGTGTAGAAGCTGTGAAACAAATCAAAAAAGTAAAAAATACAGTGATACATAGATGATATTATCTACATGAACTTAGACTGCTAGGGGGCCTGAGCTCCATGAACTTACTTTCAATTGGTTCCCCGTTAATGAACCAGCTGATTGTGGGACGAGGAATCCCATCAGAACGACATACCAAGTGTCCATTTTCCTCAGGAGCCAAAACTAAATCTGTGGGCTTCTCCAACCAGAATGGAGCAGCTGAGAAATAAAAGTATGTTTCTTGTTTTCAAATTATTAAAGAAAAAAAAAAAAAAAAAAAAAGAGAGAACATGGTTCTGAACATGCCTTACCTTTGACCTTGACCATTATCGTGTGTTCAATGTATCCAATCTTATTGGTGGCAGTGCAGACGTATTCTCCAATATCATCAAAGTCTGCCTTTGGGATCTGAATCATCTTGTTAAAGTTTTTCACTTTCATTCTTGGTGTCACTACCAGGTCCTCACCATCTTTGGTCCACGTAATACGAGGAGTCGGCCTTGATGGTGATAAAAGGGTCAACAGGATTACTCTCATGAAATCACAGAAACTTTACCGAACAGAAAAAACATTTGTCACATCATTTTTATATCTTTTTGAATTATTGTTAAAAAGTAGTAACAGTGCATTATTTTGGTTTCATACTCACACTCCTGCAGCGATACACTCCAGTAGTAGCTCCTCCCCTTGCAGGACCAGGATGGAGCTGGACGAACCTGTGGGAGACAGCCAGGTGGGGGCAGCCTCAGCCACTGTACGAGCTGTTTGGTAACACAGCAGAAGACAGCAGTCACCCACTTTTCAATAATCCACTAATTCCAAACAGTGCAAGCAAACTATAACACAGGAGAGGAAAGCTGCAGCAGAGCACACACACACTCACCACAATTAGTAAGTTTAGTTGCAGGACATGATGATTCTTTTTAGAGTGTGGTCTAAAATAAAATAGAATGGTTAAATACAGTCAGAAGACAGAAAGTTATTGCAATACTTTAGAAGTCATTGTTGTAAGTGAATCTATTTAATAAGTTTAAGTCAGGTTAGTACAGCTAACAGAAATGTAAGTGCAATTACAGTTTAAAAGTAATAATGGTAGGATTAATATTATAATAGTGGTCAAAACTCCTTGACCTTAACTTAGCATGTGTCCAACATAATATTTACTTCATCTTGTGCATTATGATGTAAACATGTATCAACACATGGAACTAAAAGTGATTCTTTTTCCCTTTATTACATAGGACAGCTGAAGAGGGACAGGAAATGTTGGGAGGAGACAGTGGAGGGATGGAATGCAGCAAAGAGCCGAGGTCGGATTTGAACCCTTCTGCGAAGAGGACTACAGCTTCTGTACATGAGGCGTGCGGTATAACTGCTGGGCTATCGGTGCTCCCATTTTCAATCTATTTTAAGCTAATTTGGCGAAATATTTCATAGAAATATATATTTAACTGTGTCTGGCCTAGAATGGCTAGAGAGTGAATTTTCTTTTCTTTTGCTTTGACTGGCCTTTTGGGACTCATATATACTGGTTCATGTGACCCACAAAAGGCTATAAAAACAGTGACACACACCAACACTGCTTTGATTATGTTTGTCCTTCCATGTATTTCAGAATTGACAAGTAAATTGTATGTGGGGTCTTCAAACATTATCATAGCAAAATAAGGCAAGTATACAAAACTAGACCTAACAGCAGTTGTATAATCATACTTACTGGTAAGTACTTTTACAACCACAGGCATCTTCTGCTGGATGACATTCTTGTATGGGAAGCGAGCATTACAGCAGTAATCAGAATCAGAGTCATTGAACAAGACGTTTGAGAAGTACAAGTCTCCATTTACTCCCATGGACACCCTGCGGTCCGGCCGCACAGGCTGCATGGTGGGGAACGCCGTCTGAATTGGCCAGTTGAAAGGTCTCGCGTAAGAGCCTGTATTTAATCATACAATTTAAAAAGCAATCAGTTTACAGAAGAAAAAACATACAGCTACAAGGTTTTGTTAGCAGTTTATCCTTAAAACGATTGATATATATCTTTAAAGTAATTGTTGAGAGACACTAACAGCTGGACATCCAGTAGGTTTCAGGTTTAGGCGGGCCAGGTGGAGGGTCACACGAGAGGACCAAAGGCAGGCCCACGCTGACCACCACGGGCTCCAGGATCTCTCGTGGCCACACAGGAGCTCCTACACAAACATAGCAAGTCATATGGTTTTCAGTGTCTGAAGGAAGGTGGTCCTAAATAAGCAGATTATCTCTAAGGGCAAGTCTGCTTTTACTCTATGTTGTTGTAATTGTTAATAAATCTCACGTTGAGACAAAAACTATCAATGAATCTATTAACTTGTATAAATCACCTTTGTATCTAAAGACTGATATTATGTATTCATCTGTGCTTAGAGCTACAGTTTGACAAAACTCTCAGTGCGCCATGGTAGCACTGGGAGCCATGTTACTACTTAATGATAGGCCCACCTGAACCTTCATTCTGCTGCTATCATGAAAACAGATATGTGGCTTAAATAGTCCTTAACCAGTGCAATACTTACTCCTTTTTTATGTTTCCTTAAAACTGCAAAACCCAGCTACTTTAAGAGACTACTGAACTGAAAAAACAACATGTAGACGGATCACTTCCGTCTCCAAAGATCTAACGCTGCTGTAGGAACTAGTGCAGCTTGTAGAGGAATATCGATAGAGTGGAAGAGTTTGATGGTGGTGAGAGTCAAACCGACACTTTTTTGAAAATTCAGTCTTTCACAAGTTATACAAATTCTAAAATATAGAATTTATAGAAGTTGTCAGGTGTGTTTCTTTATTGTCCTCTGTTGAGGGGAGTCGTATTGTTTGTCTTCAACACTTTTATGTGGGACTACAGATGGAAATAAGCAACTCGCTAAATCCGTTGCAACCATCTTTTCATTCTTTGTATAAATGATCAATGTTAATTAGCAATTTACAAAATGTCCATATGCAGTATGTCAGTAGTAAATCAGTGGTTGATATTTTGTACACATCACAGTGATCTTACTGTAGAGTCGTAGTCTGATCTTGTTGGAGTATGCAGACCCATATTCATTGGAGGCAATGCACTGGTACTCTGCCTCATACTGTTCTGGATTGTTCCAGGCGTAGATGTCCAGCGTCCCCGAGCGCCTGCGCACTGATGCTTGAGGGTCGCGTGCTACATTGAAGTACTTCCCATTACGCCTCCATGAGAAACTTCATGATGGACATGAGAGAACAGACAGAAATCAGGTTGAGGTGTCTTGTAGATAATGTCAGATTTAATACACCGGGTGTCATCAGCTCTTACATGGGATGAGGGTTTCCTTTGGCTTCACATTCTATGACCATGGTGTCTTTGGGGTCAACAATGTGATCCTTCATGGACTGCTTTATGATGGTCGGAGGCTGTCTGACTGCAGGCAGAGAGATACTGTACATCAATTTGGAAAATGTGAAACTTAAATAAAAATACAAGAAAGAAAATAAAAATAACAACATGAAGATTCACTCACTTTCCAGAGGGATGTCCAAGCTCCAAACACTCTGCCATAAAAGTAGCAGCAGCGCCGGTGAGAACAGTGTCCCCATCTTTGCAGTGCATGGAATCCAGCTACGCTTTCCTTCACCAACTATCCTGTTCAATGAAGAGTAATAGAAGACTGAACAACACATGCATTCGATTGAGTTAAACCCAGGACTTTTAAATGTTTGTAAAAGGTTTGTTTTAGGAGGAATAATGACGGAGTTGATGCTGATTAAAGTATTCATGATGTAGGTGATTTTGGTGATGCAGCTGTTGATGTTGTTGATGATGATAATTGGAAAAAAAAACACTATTCTATTCACCCTGTGCACTGCCTGTCAGCACATGTGTCCAATCAGACTTAAAGCTGTTGGTTGGCACTTACTGATTCCGTCTTTCTAATTCTGCTTGTGTTGTGCTCACTCGCAGTTGTATATTGTTCTTGACAAAAGTGTCGGCTAAATGAAGTTGTAGAATTTCAGAACTGTTGGAGCAACTTTCTCCAATCTATTCTTTTTTCCCATCTTTGTGTGAACACAGATGCATAAGTGAAGTAACCCTCCCCCAAAAAGGTTGGGAACATCCAGATCAAAATATTACAATGTTATTATCATTATAATGAGTAACCTTATTTGTCCCAGTGGGCAGTTGTTTTTTTTGCAGCAGGATGTATTCACTTAGAACACAAATAACACAGGGCACATGAACACCAAGGCCAGAAAAAAATAAACATGATTTACAGAAAAACTTAAATTAAAACACTTTGTTAATGGACATAAAACATTTTCTTTCTTTCCAGAGGTCAAAGTGGAAATGGGAGAGAGGGTGAGGAGGTTAGATCTATAAGCTCTAGTCCATGAAAGTCTCTTTTTTATTAACCTTGCACAAAAAAAAAGGAAAAAGAAAACTTTGTGGTTTCAAGGATAAATATCATCAATTTAAAAGAATCTCAAATGCCTCAGAACTTTACAAAAGTACAGCGCTTGAGTCATTTTATTTAGTTATTAGAAACAGAGACACATTCATTACTCTCTGAATCTGATTATCAAACACTATAATTTATCGTCATCAAACTGAGTGAAAATGTTTCCCCCTGATATATAATGAACCTTGAAGTCATGCTTCTATGAACAGAACAAAAGGTTGTCAGTACTTACCTCTCTCATGTTAAAGTCCAATCAGGGCGCTCTCCACCTCATCTCTGCAGCTTTCCCCCAATGCACCAATAATCCCCGCAAAATTATTCCTGTTTGTGCAGTTTACCAAAATAATTTCTCAGACCTTCAAATATCAGGTCAAGAACCCTCGAGGAGTTCATTCACTTCAGTAATAGAGTTTCTGTCTGTCGCTGCCACTTACACTCTGCCCACCCATCTCATGAATAATGAATGAGCGTCATACACCGCCTACTCCTCACCCACTTCAGTGCGCTGTTCTGACCGGCCTCTCATAACTCTGAACAAACAATCTCAATCAGAAATAATAAGTTTGAGATCTTTAAACATATTAAAGGTTTATCAGCACAGTAAACAACCAAGAGTACAAAAAATGATAACAAATGTTTGGTTTATTGCTCTTAACTTGAGAATTTTCTGACTTTACATAAAAAAAAATCTGCAAGCCTCGTGCCTGAATAATGATTGCTTTGACCTGGTTCAGTTTAGCTAAATCAGATTGCTTTGGCCGAGTGAAAGCACAAAACAATTTGCATTCCTGCTGGTTTGATGACATCAAAATGAAGGCTTTATTGTTGACTGAAGAGAGCTGGGGAACAGAGGATGAAAGCAATGTTTGTTTCTTTCGTATGAATTTTACATGTGGCAAATCTCAAGTCTGATGACTCCCAGACCAAAATATCCAACATTTAGAATTTTCCCACAACAAATGCCGTTATTTAAAAATCTTAAACTCCCTCCAAAAACCTCATCCTGTATTTTCCAGTTCCTCACATCTCCTGTAATAATATTCAGAAGGTTTCCTCTGTTTTTCTTCAGACAGACATTTTGACAATAACTCAATAACTCGCCTGTCCTCTTGCCTGGAAAAGGTCATTTCCATTCAGCTAAAATAATCCTACAGAGTCAAGGAAGGTTTTTTTGAAACATTGCCAAACACACAGGAGGAGCTGTATTTGTGTTAAACAAAAGCCATCTTAACACCGTTGACAGAGTCCTGACCTGTGTAGGCTTTCAGGCATCCACACAGGACTGAGTATACAAACCAGCATTGACTGGCTAAACAAAAGCCTGGTGTTGGGGATGGTGTGGGTACAATAAGGTAAAGAAAATGTTGTCATTTTAGTTTGAGTAAATCTACCGCTCTTTTATTAAAGATTTGACATCCTTCATTTTTATTTTTAGTGTAAGAGCAGCTACAATAAGGACTTTATATTATTACAGCGCTGATGCCCTGCCTTCTCTGGCCCTGTTCCTGTCCTCTGTGCTCACAAGCAGAAAAAAACTTGACTTGCCTCACATGGTGAACAAGGCAAAAAGTGGTATGTAGAGCTTCTTGGCTCTCTGAATGGACTTTTTCCAGCCTATACATTGAACTGAAGCAGGCCTGGCAGTGATAGTGATCAGTGCCATGCACCAGATTGCACAGTGAAGAGGCAGAGAGATGGACAGAGGCAGCTCAGTGACGACAACAAGGTCTCTATGCTCCCAGGGTCTCCTTTGGCACGTGTCGACCAGGGCTCGGGTGAGAGCAGATGGCATGTGGGAGCGCTCAACACTGCACAGGCTGCCTGTTCAGTATCCGAGCACCTATCATATGCAATTTGACGTCACCGCATCAGGGAAAGCACAAGAGGAGGCCAGAGAGAAATATGCCTCTGACACATTAAGTCATCCCAACTGTGCAGTTAACCTTCAACTTCAACTGCAACCAAAAGACATTTCCAAGAGCTGAATCCACAGCCTTGCTAGCAGCTGAATGCTAATTTCCCTCTGGAATCATGCTGAGAATAACATTGCTGACATACAAATGAAAATCAGTTATGTTCTTAGTTCACATATCACGCTTACATCTACCAATTAGCATGAAACACAAAGAACAGTTAGAATTTTGTAGAAATTGAGGTTTTGACAAAATAATTGTGCTATTTGAAATGTTAACCGAGAATTAAAATCACAGAGTGTCTACTGAAAGAAACATGAATGTTCTTCTGAATTCCATGGCAATTCAACAAGTACCTCAAATTCAAAATACAAATCGTTCCAACTTAAGGCTAATGCAAGGTCGCAGAGTTGTCCTGCTTTATGTTGGGCAGGCAGGCGCCAAACATTGGCAGTTAGATTGTGCTAGCGTGCGGTAGCTTGCAGTGTAGGTACTAGAAGTAAAAATCCTCCCTACATCCTTATTTATGTCCAAGTGTTAATTTCTCTGATTTTTTTTGTTCTTTTTGACAAATTGGGCTCCTGCCGCAGTCTTTACCACATTAGCGGAGTAGAGGAGGAAAGAGTCAATACGAGTCCTTAGACTTTCTATAACCAGAGTGCCTGCTTCAAATCGGCACAATATTTTGATGTGCCGTACCAACCTAAGGGAAATAATATATCAGGTAGGTTAAAGGAAGAATGTGTGACCAGCACTAAACCAAAACAAACTGCTGTTTCCTGTGGCATCCCTCTAACCCCTCTCCACTCAAGTTTGCACGGAGGAGTTATCAATCAGAACGCATCGTAAAAGCACAATTAAGAGCAAGCCGCAGACAAAATTGTCCTTTGCTTGAGCTGCAATTGCGTGTGGCTTGCGTTGTTGTGTTAGCAGGCTAATGTTAGCACACTTTGGTTAACTCACATCTTCATAAATTGACACGGAATGACCGTAATCTAAAGACACTTATGTGAGATCCATATAAGCAGTGAGTAGGCTATGTTATTCTACTTTTCTCTAGTCCTGGACTTAAACAGCTTTATAGGCAAGGCCGTCCCGTCCATGTAAACATGATGTAAACAAGGCTCTGACAACAGTGCAGCTGGCGGGACTCATGCTTCTCACTCATTGTAGACAGTCATGACTAAGAGAGACATTTATAATGGGCACTAATATTACAGTGCCCATTATTTAGTATTTTTTTCTCCAGTTTTGTACAACAGAAAGAGATAGAGACGCATTGTCTTTGTTTATATCCAGTCAATGGTCCAAACCAAAGAGGTGGAAAAAACTGTCAGTGCAATAGTGACACTGCTAGCATAGCTCAGTTATTTTCCTACAGTTAGATTGTAAGATAAAACAGTTCATAATGTACACACCGGTTGTCGGAATATTGACTAATAAAAAATGTGATGTAAAGTCATCTAAATGGCAGGTATAGCAGAACAACGTGTAGTTCCAACTCAAAAATCTGATGAAGCAGTTTTAGATCCGTCCCACTTCTCAACTCAGACAATGACATCATTCAAACCTTGACTTCCATTGATAAGCATCTTGAACTACAGCTTCAGGGATTAAAGCACCCCTTCATGGGTTGATACACTCTACAGTGCTTTTCTTAAGTGTCTTTCTTCACTTTATTACTGTGCACTTTATAAACAAAACCACATATTTAGAATTGGCTAAAAACCTTTGTACCTACCTTTGTGTAGTTTAAGCGTCGTCTCTTCTCTTTGCTCCCCCTTTTCCCCTCGTTGCAGCGAAAGCAAACTCTTACTTTCTTCTCATCTTCTTTCCCAGTGGATTGACAACATCACCCTCTCAGTCAGCTTCACTTTTCCAGAAGCATCCAGTTGTGATGTTGTCACTTTTTATTCCTAAAGCAGATGTCAGGCAAGATAACCGTTGCCCATGTTGCCCACCAGGATGGCTGTCCTGAGTTTTGGTCACAGGGTCTGTTATAATAAATCCATTGTGAAATCCACAAACACATATAACGTCATCTTCATTGTGATGGGAGAATAATACAGAACGCATATGTCTAGAACTACCTCATGGATTAGGTTAAAGGTAATTCAACTTGTATCTTGCAACATGACCTACGGCATGCATACAAGTTCAAATAATTCAGAATGTTTCTTGTGTGTTCTGTTGATATTCAGAGTGTTTGACGGGGGTGGGTTACTGACCTTGTATCTTCACTCTGGCTGGCACGAAAGCACGCTCTTTCACACAAGGCCTTTCTGTCTGGAACAAAGTCAGTCTATTGTGGACAGGGGAGGCTCAGCTTCCAGAACACATGGGGGGGATTTAGCCCGTCACATTCAAGTGATTGGATGATTTCTCCTTCATTGATAAAGTCTTACATCATTTGACAAGACCAGATTGACCAAACTGGTCTTTAAGGTGTTTCATAAAGAGGAAGCAGTGTTAATCATAAATATCCATTTATTCAAAACAAATAAAATCAGCCAGTAATGTACATAGCCATTATGTCACATGGAGGTATGATTTAAGCTTGTGCTCAAATTAAAAACACTGAGAAAAGTGACTGATGTCACATGTTAATATTAGTGTACACAAGTGTTTTTAAATAAAGTGCATGAAAAGTGCTTACTTCATCAATCAAATGCTTAATGTAAGTAAAGTACCTGACACAAAATGCTACAGAGGCTCAATAAAAAGGTAAGTTTTGAAGGGACTAACACTTTGGCCTGATGGTGCGATAAAGTGATCAAGATTTTGATCACAAATCATCCTCAGGGGGCATGAATGTCTGCAACAAGTTTCAGTTAAATTGGTAAAACAATTGAGATGATTTTTGACTACAAATGACAAATGCCATCATAAAACCGTTAAACAATGGTCATGGATCACAAAATTCAAACTGGGTCCATTAAATGCCATTTCATGGCAATCCATTCAATAGTTTTTTGAACAACACACAGAGGAACCCAACGGAAACCTTAAAGGTCTCAATAATCTCGGTACCCAAGTATCCCATTGGACATTGTCTCACAGCAATATAGCCCCTGGGAGATATGGCCAACTTTTGGAACTCTGGTACTGCCAGCGCTAAGGGACAAGGAATTAACCAGCCAAGATCTCCTTTTCCATGTGTTGTCTTTGTTCTCAGTCCAACCAGCAACTTGTGAAACAACAAAGAAGTTGGGGTTGTGAAGCGACTAAGAGCAGATTGTTAGCTGCACTTTTATGCAGATATCTGTTTAATGTTAAATCATAAGTGGATGACTGCCAATGGTTTCCAGGATTTAATTTTTGCGGGATTGTATTCTGCCACTTTATCTCTACACACAGGCATTGTTTTCCATCACTCTGCCAGGTCTTACTGTAAAACTAAGGGGCGATAATACTTTAAAGGCAAAAAGAACCAGAACACTTTTTTAAGAAACATTTTCTTAAAAAAGGTTTTCTGGTTCTTTATGTTCTTTTTGTCTTTAAATCTTTAAATGCCAGCAGAGGGACTAGCTGTTGTACTTTAAAGGTGTTTCTTTTCTTTTTGTCATAGTCTGTAAATGTATTCATCTGTGTAGACAAGTCTGATAATGTACCTACTCAAACCCATCTCTGCTTCACCTCCCAGGCCCTCTCACTCATCCAGTCCTTAGTTCTGCTCACAGCTGATCTCTCCGCTCCAAGCACCAAACAGAGCCTGGCCAGTTTGAGCCTGTTTCTCTCAAGGTAGCTCTGGGTGTCACTCTGCAGCTGGTCCAGAGCCCTTGGCCGACTCTCGTCAAGGGATACCAAAGCACTCAACATGGGGTTGAAGCGAAAATACACGTCTGGGGCCAGGAGGTCGTCCAAAAGAGTGTGGACCCCTTCAGTGTCAGTGGCACTGCTGATCAGGTTGCTGATTTTGGCCCTCAGGCTAGTGGAGGTGGCAGGTGTCCTCTTCACGTTGTCAAAGCGACCCGTGCCAAGGGACAGCACACATTGGAAGGGCTGATTGGGCCACAACAGACGACTCTCATGGACAGCCAAGGCACAGGGATTGTTCAGGATAATTCCTCCATCCTAAAAAGACAGACAGAAATGAATCATTAATTATACTGTACACGACAATTATTGTGTTAAAGATATGAATCTTTAATTTGTTTCAAGTGAAAGTTTCTGGCAAGACAGTATGAAAGGAATCGAGACAGTCACAAGGATGTTTGTGGACTAATGATTTGAAGCCTTTTGGCATTTTGGCCTCGGCAATCTCAGTTTTTTTTTTCTTAGCCAAAGGTGACCATAGTTGGAGAAAGTGTGGATATGCCTTTCAGATTCAGTATTAGGATGACAGCCAAGGTAGTAAATGTATGAGACCAGCTAGCGTTCTCATCAAATTTTACTCTAAATGGGACAGTCATTTTATGAATAAACATCTTCATATATTGAAGAAGACTTTAAAATAGCAAATGAGACACTCAACACCTTGGGGAAATGTTAACTGAGGTTACTTTGAAAAGGATAATTTATTCAGTCTTCTTTTCTCATTTAGTGGAGTCGCCTCCTGTTGGTCATTAGATAAAATGCAGATTCAATGCACTTATTTTATACAGGACCCTACCTGGTGAATGTCACTTTGTAGGGTGAACTCCTGGAAGTATCCCGGTGCAGCTGATGATGCTCGAACTGCCTGCCACATCTGGCAGCCTGAGGCTCCCGCGTAGCGACTGAGAGAGCCTGGTTTGTGGTTGTAGTTGCGAAAGACAAAGGCTTTCGGACTTGTTCCCCAGTTTACTACTGCGCTGACTGCTGAAACCTGAGCGGATACAAACAGCACTCTTTACATTACAAACCCTGTGCCAAATGGGACATGAATGCTGGAAAGGAGGTAATTTAGGAAATACTTTAGCAACTGTAGTCTCAACAAGGGGACACTATTTTATCAGTGCTATGTGCCTTATGATCATTTTGTTGTCAATAAACATTATGAAAGCCATATTCTTACCTTGGGACTCATCTCATTCCTGGCTGTTTTAATAAGTACTCTATCTCCCAACTTTTCTCTACAGAGAAACAAAAAATGTAGTCAGACAAGATTAAAATGCTATGTTATTACATGTTGAGTGTGTTGTTGTAACCTATTTAGGGCTTACTGTAGTATTGTCTCCCAGGTCTCTGTGTTATAGTAAGAGTGACTCCACCCCATCTTCACGGTGCCAACCAGCGGGTTCTGTCGAAACACCTCAGAGCCAAATCGACGATACATGTCAGCACACTCCTCCAGAGAAAAATGGGCCAGACCCAGCATGAAGGCTAGAACGGCACCTTTAACGAACACATGCAGAGACACACAATGAAACTACATATTTAGAGGGAGAAGCACAGGGATTTTATAGACTATATGTCCCGGGTTTATTTGAAAGAACTTGCAGGTCTGTTGTTTCTCACCCGTGCTCACTCCACAGATGTAGTCAAACAGCTGGTGGATCTTTTTGCCCGTCTGAGCTTCCAGTAGCTTTAACAACTGCAGAGGAACTACACCTCTGGATAAGGCAGACAAAAATAAAAAATAAATGTAAAAAGTCTGAGTGATACACTGGGCTTTAGCCATAGATATAAAATATGGAATTATATATACAATAGCTAAGCACAGTGATCGTCTCAAACATGGTTCAGGGATTTGTTGTTCTAAATGATTAGAAGATAAATTTACTCGGCAGTAAACAGAAAACAATACTGTAGCTAATCATTGGTAGTATTGCTTAATCCTTCAGGTAAAAACTACAATAATTACCTCCTTTCCACCTTTTGAAACTTCTGTCTTATATGACAGTAAGCTATATATATATATATTTTGGTTAATAAAGTCAAAAACAATTAAACACCAAAAAAAAATCATGGTTACGTGTACAGCATGAAATCAGAATTGTTAGTGGCATATCATTAACTAATCATCAGTTTTCTTGTTACCTTGTGCCACCACCATCAATGGAGAGCACTCTAATTCCCCGACCTTTGACTGGATCAAGATAACCGATTAGCGCCAAAGTTTCTCTCAAGGCGCTCTGAAGCATCAGGTTATCTCTGTGAGCCCGTCGCTTTCTCAACAGTGTGACTGCTATTTTCTCCTGGAAACAGAGACATCTTTAAGAACTCACTTGGGTTAAATGAGTTGATAAAACCTTTGGAAAGTGTGATTGTTCCACTTCAACAAACCTGCCACATTACAGCTTTGCATGATGGGTAACGGATGAGATGTTCATTCAGTGTGTCCACACAGGCAGTCAGAGCTTCAGGAGTAGAAGCCTGTACCAGAGCGCCAATTAATTGTTGAGTCATTTCCTCTGCCCGCCTGTGACTCAAGAAAAACTGGAAATAAACAACCAGACATTACTCGTAACATCTTGATTTCATTTTATGTGTTAAGCTAACGCTACAAGAAACAGACTGTGTAGCTTTTATGCTAACAAGCAATTCTTTCAATACTTTTAGTTTTTCATATTCTGGTTCAAAGTGATGCTACTCAACATTTTACCTCAACTCACCTTTTTGTTCAATATTCTCTCTGGTGAAGTTCTCGCAGATGTTGACTTGGTCTGGGCCCTTGGGTTAAGATAAGCGCCAAGCAAGTCGGGGATGGCACTTGTCGGGTGGCGAAGGCAGTCCATAAGCGTCACAATCTTCAGTCCCTCTGGGGTAGCAGATCCAGGGTCCAGCTCTAGTAGGAGATCTCTATCAATGTCCTCTTCTGATCCACTTGGACCCTTGAAATACTGATTGATGTGACCTGCCATTTGGAAAAAGTTCTCCCCAAAGTTAGTGTCATTACTGCTGCTGTGGAAAAGGCCTCCACCTTCAGGGACGATAGGTTCATCTTGCTTCTGTTGTGATGAGGGAACTTGAGATTGCGAGTTAGATTTTGTTGAAAGGTGTTTTTTGTAAGTGCTATTATTTTCAACCTGAAGCTGTTCTTTCGTCGTGTGACCAGTAACTTTGGCACCAAAGTATTTATTGATGTGTCTTGCCAACTGAAGATAACCCTCCTCCCAGCTGCTCGAAGGACTGTTGGGCTCCGCAGCTACCTGATTAGCATCAGATGTCCCTTGAGAGATTTCAGCTTCTTTTGAGCTCAGGATGATAGAGTTTGGTACTTTTCTCATTTTTAGCCTCCTCGTAGTCCCTCTAGTGGGAGATAATGTTTCAGATGTCTCCTGTGTTTGAACCATTGCGAAACCTCGAGAGAAGGCTGTGTTAATGTGATTAGCAACGTAGCTGTAGCTTTCACCGAATGTTGTCGCCAAAGAGCTGATGTGAAAAAGCTGCAGTCCTGAATAATTATGTGCTGAAGAAGCTGTTCCAGAGCTCTTCTGTTCCTCCTCGCGCGTCAAAGTTTGCGTTGTCCGTTTGCCCTCGGTTTTTTTGCGCTCCCTTGTTGCCCAATGGCTTTGACTTCGCCTCTGTGACCTGCCAACGTACTCTGGAGTCGCTACAATAAGAGTGGCATTTTCTGGTGACAGTAAAACTTCCCTGTTCTTGAAATAATAGTTAATGTGTCTGGACAATCGGTTAAATGATTGACCAAGACGTGCTCCAAGTGAGCTCAAATTTAAATTGCTCTGAGACTCGTCTAAGATCCCAATTGGAGCTTCAGCTTTGAATGTGTTCCTGTTTGAGGAGGAGTAAAAACGCACAACCTGAAGGTGTTTCACTCCTTTGGTAAAATCTCTGAGGAAGAGGTAAGATGTAGAGCCTCTATCATTTTGATTTAAACTTTTTAGAGTAGCATTTCTTATAAATGTGGAAGGATGACGAGGTGACAGTGGTGAATTTCCGTGCAGGTCCAGACAGAGTGGTGCTTTAGTGAGACGAGGGTGCTTTCTGAGAAGGCTCATTAGGTACCTAATTTTGCAGTATGACCTCCAAGTCTTGTTCAAAGAAATTGAACATGAGTTGGTGCTGAGGTAGCGACCCATGTTTGACCCGATGTTGTGAGCAGCAATCAATCAAAGTCCAAATGTCAATCTTCAGCTTGCATTGATTTAGACCTTAGCAGCCTTTTCATCTAAAATCTAAAAGAGGAAAAAAAATGTATGTGTTAAAACAAATGGACCACAGCCATACTAGCATCTCATTGAATCTGGTTTTGGGACAGTGGTGTCTTCTTGGATTGAATGCTAAATCACAATACAAACATGCTCACAGCAACAATGCTAGCATGCTGATGTTTTAACCTGTATAATGTTTAGCAGGTTCGTCTTAGTTTACAGTGTTAGCCTGCACTGTAAACATGTGTCTGTGAGTATTTAACAATGTTTACCTGATGATAATTGTCATTTTTGTAAAAGACAATTTTGACAATGACATTTTTTTCTGTAGTCAATAACACCAGTGGTTATAGAAACACTCAATAACAACCAACAATGTCAACATGCTGCATGGCGACACAAGAGGAAAGTCAAGAAATCATCAAAGTCAGTCGGAGAAGTAACCTGATAACCATGAGTGTGTGTACAAAAATGTATTCCAGTCAAATAAAAAAATATATATGCTGTACTGAACAAGATATGAATAAACCTGTTGGTATCACAAGTGGATAAAGTCCAGAGGATTCCTCAGCAACATGAATACATGGACCAAATCTCACAATAATCAGTTTAACAATGTGTCAATTTTGCAGTAAGAATGAAGTATGTCATCCATCACAGAAGTCCACAGGATTCACTATCTGGGCACCTTGAATTTCTTTAAGAAGTTACATGACAATCTAAGCAATAGTTGTAAAGGTATGTCTACAAGGCCAACTAACAGCCCAACATGGCATACCTCAAAGCTGCTAGCATGGCTAAAAACATGTATTTCAAGTCCAATGTAGCCTGTCACCTTTCGGAACAGTAAGGACAGACACTCACACACACAAACACACACAAATCAAAGTGTCCAAGAATCAGGTCAGTTTGGTTATTAATATCTTAACTGCATGCCTATGTGGAGCAGGAACACATTGTCACCTCTATAAACATGTAATTATTACTGGAGAGTTCAGAGGGAGCAGATTGTGTTCAAACATTATGTTCCACAACAACCTTTGATTTCCACAGTTTAACTCTGAGGGAAACCTCAGATGTAATACGTCAGTCCAAATAGCTTGTGAATCACTCTGCACATTCTGCCAAGAGAAAGGTATGTCTGCAATGTCGCCTGGAAATGTGAGAATACAGTCAGCTTTGTCCTTAGTTGCTCTTTTATCCTTAACGAATAGAAAAGCGCCGTGTGACTATGTGAAAATATGATGCATCCATTCACCCCTTCTTGTGACTACTTCAGAAAGAGAGGAGTAACAAACGTGGGTATGCAATAACAAAACATCTACTGTGGTTACTTTCCTGGTAAGTGGGGGAAGGTCATGAACCAAAGCAGCTTAAGGCTCCTCTAACCTTGACAGAAAATGTCTAATTAAAAGAGTCACTGAAGATTTACCTGTCACCAAACATCTAGTTCTTCTGTGTTCACAATCTTCTTCAGCAAAGCTTCTGTTATTGAAATGCAGACCCCTCTTTTGACAACTGTCAGAAGTACTATTTCCACTGTGTTTTGATACTTCATTCAGTCCTGTTTTCTCCTGCAGTACTCTAATCTCATTGGTTGAGCTGGGCTGGGAGGGGGACAAGCACGGCCAATGCTTTGTTAGGCCACACAAGCTTAAGGTCATGTGCTTCCTCTGCCGTATGCCAGACTGGAAACACTTGTCTAAAATTAGGGGAGGGGGGCGATAACTTAAGGGTCTCAGCGAGCTGGAGTTAGCTTCTTCTTATGTCACAACACTAACACACACACACACACACACACATCCCTCCAAACCAGAAGGAGCTGTCAAACTGGTCACCTGCTCTGTAATTCTTGGAAGCTGTGGACAGTTTCCAAAAGGTACATGTGATCAAAACAATAACAGCTGTGCAAAAAGTTGTCTTTAGAGAGTTTGTTTTGCAAAATGTATACCTTTCTTCTTGTTTTTTTAAAAATAAATTTCTATTGTTTCTATTTATTTAAAAAACAGGTTTGTCATTAGAAAATGAATGATAGAATAAAAAAATCATTGTAAATACCAACAAAGGTCTTCATATCCAGTAACATACATAATGTAACCGATATTCATCATACATTTTGTCATTTACATCGCTCTAAAACACAAAGTTATAAATCAGTTTTCCACTTTCTCTTGTGCAAACACTAGGTACAAAGTATTTTATTTTTCTCTATAGAAATAATTACCCAGTCGTTTTATTAGGGTGAAATTTCAAGACTTACCTTCATCATTTTGATTGTGCAAAATAAAAAGAGAAATGCAAGAAAAAAGGGGTTGTAAATACATCTAAACAGCCTCTGCAGTGAGGAACAGAGTATGTTTTGTAAATATCACTTGTCCTTAAAGCCCCACAATAATACCTTTAACAAGCACAAGCTGTTCTGCACTGTTGATTACACACGCTCACTTCAGAGCCTCCTCTGAGATGGACACCACCACCGACCTAAAGAAGTTACTAATGCAGGGTAAAACTAATGAAAAGTGTCATGAAGTTCAGTCGGCATTTCTCTCAGGTTCCCTTTGTTGTCAGAAAATTGTTTACACGCTGAAAAAAAACCTGGCAACCTCAGGAGACATGGCAACCTTCGATGAACAAAGGCAGTCATTATCTTGTCAGAATGTATGGCTGCCAGTAGAAATAATAATTCCTAAGAACACTTTCACCTTCACAGCTGTTATTATTTCAGACTTAGAATGACATCTAGTGGCAGCTTCCTGACACTTTTGTTCTCAATCTGTTTTTGAAAGAAATCCGATCTGTGTGACGGGAAATTGGCTGCATTTTGCTTCAGCGATTTTCTCTGTATTGTATATTTGTCAAAGCGTGACATGTTTTATACACAGCACATCACAACGCTCGCGCTTTTGGAGTAAAGCTTTTTCACTTATGGTGTGGCTTCAAAACAAAATGTTTCAGTCAAATGTATTTTGTCTGCTCATTTGTCATCTTAAGAGTTGTTGGTAGAAGAAACATACTAATTTATACCAAAATGAGCTTTCTAAATCCGAACAGACATCAATTATAATATTAATGAATGCAATTGGTCCATGATCTGTAAAATAACCTTTGCTATTTGGCAGAGGTGGAAAGAGTACTAAAATATTCTACTCAAGTAAAAGTAGCATTACTTTGATGAAATTTTACTACAAATAAAAATTACAAAAACATACTCAAGTAAAAGTGAAAAGAAGCTTGTTTTTACATAGTTACTTTGTAAAACAATAGATCTCTCCTGTGTAGGGTAAAAGGAGAAGAGGATTTCAATCTCAAACAAGTTGTTTTTAATTAAAGGCAATAACAAAATAAAAGAAGTCGACACAACATTTAAAACCCTTAGGGAGGTATAATGTGTCATTTGAGTTGAGACCCACCATAAAACTTTTTCAAAGTGGATTCTGTAGAATCTCTTTCCTCTTTCTTTTCTTCACCAACAAACACCAACAACAGATATACTACAAATATACAAAACAAAACTGGTCAAGGTCAGAAGTGTTGTGATTTTCCCTAAATGACCCAAGGAAGACCAAAATCTAAGTACAAGGGGCGTTCGAGATGTTTTAAAACTGCAGTGGTTGTTATTTTTATTCTGTGGTGTTTAGTGGAAGTTGACACTGCAGTTGTTTCTCAGGCAATTTTTTTCCGTTAGTTTTTATTTAGGTCTACATTTTCTTTTTTACCAAGCAACAGATGTGATTTAAATGTACAAACAAATCAAACTTAAGTAACAGTAAAATTGCAGATTTTAAAAAATACTTAATGTACGAGTACACAAAAAAAACTACTCAATTACAGGAATGCGAGTAAATGTAATTTGCTACCATCCACCTCTGCTGTTTGGACATGCTTTCAGGATGTTAATGTTAGAGCTAAAATTTAGCACAATGTTCTTGTTTTATTCAGGGCCGTTTATAGTGGATTGAAGAACCTTGTTCCTTGTGGATTGGAGTTTATCAAAAATAAACAAAGACATTTTTTGAATACTGTTTCAGTAGATGTTTACTCAACAGTCTTTAAGGAGAGAAACTCTGTGTTGAACTGATGGCTTTACAAAAAAAACAGTTAATCATGCAGCAAATATTTCCTTCTGCTAGAAATACTCTTGGACTCTTCTCAGACATATTTATAACACACCTGATGGTTTAACAGGACAAACCATTATGTGGTTCTTATTCACAGTTAAGTGACTTATTAAACAACCTTTTTCTTTCTGTGGGTTGAGTCAGTTTGTTTTCTTTTCACAGCGTCCGGTGGTGCACTCGTCCCCGCGTCCAGTCCACTTTAAGCGGTTTTTGGCAAAGATGGCGTAAGATTTATCCATAAACGGTCTGACAGGAGGCCACATCATGAAGCGGCCCAACCAGCCGAGTCCCACTGCACTGTACATGACTGCAAAGGCCGGGACCCCACAGTGCACCTGACAAAACACAGGAGTTTAGTTGAAAGGCATATGAAAGCTTTCCTGGAAAAGCTTCCAGAACGACAATTTGATTCACAGAATATTACAGCGCTGGTTCATTAGTTCAGTGGAATACAAGTTTACCTCATTTTTCTCATCAATCACATGCATTTCACCCATGGCCATCTCATAACTGACACCCTTATATTTCTCTCCATCATAGCCTGGCAGGGAGATGTCGATAAAATCTACTTTCCCAGGCTTGTCTCTCTGCAGAAACTGGAGGAACCGGATCTCCGTCACACAAATGGGACACAGCCCATCATACAGCACCTGAAACAGAGAACACACTAACTGACAGATGGCAAACGTTCATTGGAGAAAAACCCTTGAGACATGTAATGACAACCAGCCTTTTCAGAGACTCCATTCATTGTAATTGTATTATGAACAGAAAAAAGTTTTACAGTAACGGTATCTGTTCAAGGTCATTACAGCTGAAATATTCAGCTGAAATAAGAGGAAAAGAAAATCTTGGGGAACGAAAACAGAAAACATAAAGGAAATATATGAAGAATTTAAGAAAGTAAGGAAATGGAAATTCCATCCCTTGAAGATTTTATAACCTAACCTAATGTGTTTTATGTGGTTCTTATTCCAGTAGTCCATTTCTACCAGGAAACAAAAATAAAATATAAAAAATATCCTACATGTATGATGAAACAATAAAAGTAGTATGTTAAGTCAAAGCATTACACAATAAGTTGGTTTGCAATGAGACTTAAGTTAAACTGAGATGGTAGGTCATAAATGTCACTTATGTATCAGTAAATAAGTATTTTTTAAGTCATAAAAAGCCTCCACTTCATCATCAAGCTTGACTGATTGGCGTAATATATTCGCCCACTTGTGAGATGACAAACGACTTGCTGTCACTTCTAGTATTTAGAAGTACCTTAAGGATGTTCTGTGGATCCAATTGGTTCACACAGTTTCCAGTTTCATTCATTCCTGCTAAGCTGAAGTCCGTTTGCGCCGGTGATCCAGAAACAGAGCTTTTAAGGTGAAATACTTTAAATATTTACGCTTGTTTTAAAGTTCGGTCAACTGGATAGACATGTTCAGCCGCTGAATGCAATGCTTTGACAAGTCTCCAACTGGGTTAAGCAACTTCTAGTTGTACATCAGGAAATGCGCGTACACAAAATGTTTACAAATCAATGTAAAACGTTCACTGGTCAGCGCGTCATGGCCGTGACTGACGTACCACTCTGTTATTATTTGCAACAACAAAAATGACAATCACCTAAATAGTTTAATATGACAACGACAGAGTGGGGGTTCTTCGTGTAGCAAAATCTTTGGAAGACACTCAGCTGAGAGCATGTTGTGGTGCATTCATGTGATGTCGGACACGTCGGAAAAATTAATTTCCGAGATGTAAAATGTACATGACTACGTGCTCATGTCGGCACAGCAACTTGGAACTGTCGACTTACCGACAAGACGTCAGAATCGTCATCAAATGCGGGGCAAAAATACGTTTTGTTAATGTTAACATCCTACTTTTTATTAATTCACGTATTGCACATCAACTTTTTGCTCCAATATCAATTTTTTTTACAGTTAAATTTCACTGATCTTCTTCGTAGCATCGACGCTTGTTTGTGCTGTTGTTACAACATTCAGACTTTCCGAACTGAAATCACAATGAAGTCGGAAGAACGACTTTCCAACTCGGAAAGTTGGACCACCCGAGCAGCACATGAAGAGCAGCGTTACAACGTTATCGGTTTCTATTTCTATAGATGAAAAATTTACCTTGACATCTTCTGACTCGGAGCTGAAAGTCCTGTGCTGGTGTCTGCAGAGGGCAGGTGTCACTCTTATTGCCCTTGAATTTGCAAAAGTGGGCAATCTGACCAAACCTGAGACCAAACCTGCTCTCACGTTGCAAAACATCTGCAAATATTCTGAAATCAACAGAGAAAAAAAAATGTTTATAAAAGAGCCAAGTAGCAAGCTACACTGCTATAAAGAGAAGAAATGTCTGTCTGATTTTATTGTCCCAGCTCGCTCAGGTAGACAAAAACCATACAACTCATGTTACGAAAGCAGTTGAGTAACGTCAACACGTGTAGAGGTCGTTGGCTTATATTGTTCAAGAAATTAGAGACACAAACACCTCTATAGTTACACTTCACATTTCTTGAATTAACACGTTGAACTATTAGTTAGATAAAACCATGCAATCTGTAAAGCAACAATATAATAATAACAGAAGCTGACCAAATGATGTGACGGCAGAGGGCGTGTAAAGTGCTGGCGAGATCTCAAGTGTATAGAGATGTCTCACTCCGTTGTTTTTTTGCGAAGCCAAATGTTATCGGAACGATTCTGAAAATGCCATCGATATTTTGCAGAGCTACGGTTTATAATTGTAGAAAAAACAAACATGTAAAGTAACATTACAAAAGTATAAGCATTCAAATTAATACCATAAGTAGGCCGACTCATTATTTAGAATGATCCCATTTGATAAGATTGGACAATATTTTGATGTTGTGGTATTATTTTTATCATCTTTACTGCCTGACAATATACTACATGGCAGCTTGTACTTGTCCCCCAGGGAAAACAGTTCCTCATTATCAAAATACATTAATCAACATTTAATTATTAGTTGACTATTCTATAACGTAGGCCTACAGATTAAATTAAAGACAATATTATTCCATTAAAAGGTGAATTAGATTTAAGTTTGGTAGAAATTTTAAGAAGCACAGAATAGAAATTCTCCAGAAAAGTATAAGCACCTTAAAATTGTACTGAAGCACATGATGGTATGTCATTATGGAATTCCTACAAGATGATAAACTCTGAACTTTGATACTTGTGGTGCAGTGCCATTAATTTGCGGACAATTGCATTATTGCCAGTCTAATTGCATTGCGATTAAAATACTATTTACTCTTACACATAATGTACATAATTGTCTTTTGTCTTCCGCGGCTGCTTTAAGTAAAAGTTGGTGTTTTTTGAAGGAGTTGGTATGGACTCTGCAGATGCTTTATTTCCTTTCTGGCCAACAAACTATAGAAAAAAATGGCACGTTTTGCATTCCATTTTTTATTATTGTGGGTGCAAAAAGGTTTCCTCGATGTCTTTTCACCTCCCAAAGATTTGTTATGTTTCCTATATAATCTTATTGGTGCTTAGTGTTAAGATACTTAGAGTACAGAGAGGTTTTATATTGTAAGTCTGTATTAATGTGCTTTAACAGCTCAATATATTCTCGAAAACTTTCAAAACATGAGTTTTTTCCAGTTGGAAATAAGCTCTGTTTCAATTACCCCAAGCAATGGTTTGGTCCGAATTAGGCAGGGCCTGAAGATGTTTGAAAAATGATTCAGACATTGTTTGGAGGGAACTGCTGTTGGTGGCAGCTTGGTGATGCTGTTTGTTTCTGTTTTGTATGTTGAGATTTCTTTGCTTTATGTTAACTTCACAAGTTGCCGTTTTTGCTCACTTTGTGTGAATTTTTTGGTCAACAAAACAAATCTGCTTTTTTCAAAGAGTCTGCCTTTGCACCAACATCTTTTTACTCACCACCAGTGCCAAACAGCCATATTTATATATCCCATTTGAATGTAGAATTACTATCTGTAATGCTGAAGTGTCTTTTAGGGTTCAACAACCACAGCTGGACTTTGCTTGAAAAGAAAGTCATAAACTGAAGTCCTTAATCTCTCACCATTAGCCTCAGCGGAAGCCCCAAAAAGTTTGCCATATTGATGACAGACAATAGCCTGTGGGTTCAGTGATAATAATGATTTTGATGGTGAGGATTCAATGACTACTAACCTCAACAATGACAATGCTAAGTTGTTGGAGGACACTGTGATGCCCAACATGGAGGATGAAGAAGGCAACTGCAGCTGTACAGGCTTCTGTAATATCCTAAGTTAGTGTCATTTACGTCTAGTTCTTCTATGTAGCCTACTGTTTGCTTATATTTTCTTTGTATATACAGTTAAATAAATAAAAAATAAAAAAAGGCTTACTGTTTGCTTATGACTTGCATTAGCTAATGTTACAGCTAGGTGGTAATAGCTAGCTAGCAGGAGTTGTGTGTTGGTGTGTTCCATTGTTCTATTGGGTGAATCTTTTCCACCATTTCTCGCACAAGCATGTGCCACTTTAGTCTTTGTCCACAGCTGTAAATGTATATTCAGTTGGTTGTATTATCTGATCATTTCCTCATTAACTAAAAGTTATTGTGGCCGTCTACAAAACATTCTAACAGAAAGCACATTTACTGTAATGGCTGATTAGATTTGAGCACTTTGAATGAAGTTAAAGACGGCTTTGTTTGTTTGCATTGAACCAATACAGTTCTCATGAGGCCTTACAGTCACCTATTTGCCTCAGTCTAAAGCAATATTGCTGTTGGATGTTTGCGAAATAGTTTTTGTCCTCAACTGATGAGGTGGTATTTTTTGATCAGGGAAGTTGTAGTAACTGATAAACCTGTAACCTTTATGCTAATTTATCTCAGAAGATGAAAAAGCTCTATTGTCTTGACCCAAACTTCAGCTTTCTCTATTGAGAATCACAAAGTAACATTGAAGTGTCTCTATCTATCCTTCCATCCATCTCACTTACGTTACCATACTTGTATGTAAGCTTTCCACAACAAAGTTGTAGTAAACAGTAGCTGGTGACGTTGGTGGTATTTTATCCATTTACACACAATGCAACACTCATACAAAGCTGAATGACTTCACCCAATTTATTGTTTGGACAAGGTATTAGTCTTATTTTTGTAATCCTGTTGGATAATTTACCCAGACAGGTCAAATCTATCCAGTGCTAGACACAACAAGCTTAAGTATTACATGTAAAACTGACTCAAGTGTATTAGTAGTTGTAAAAAATGTTACATGTATACTGATGGAGAAAGTCTGCAAAATAGAGGTACATATACCATACTTTAAATTAACTCAACTACAAGCGAGTGTCCTAAAGTACTAAGGTTTGATCTTTTCACAAAGGGCTTCATCAGGACCATAAACCTTTTACACAGACAAATGGGTGTACTTTTACTTGTCAGACATTGGTACACATGCTTGTCTGGTCATGTTGTTTTTCTAAAGCTTGTCCATTCATAGTTATAGGCTACATATTAATCGCAGGCTGTAGCAGGGCTATGGCTCTGTTTGTGTGTGGTCACTTGTATTTATCGAGCAAGCACACGTGATGAGATCAAAGACCTTGCTGCAGGGTCTTTCTGAGGGAGAGAGTCTCAGCTTAGTACAACTACAGAGTTTGTAGACTTGGCAATACGGTTTCAAGAATTGTACAGAGGTGAGTTCTTATTTATCGGTGTCTGATTGAGGTTCTGTGTTATGATATCAGTACCATAGCTTTGCAAATGTGCAGCTGTTTTATACTTCTGTTCCCGTCTTTTACCTGTTCCTACTTCACAGCCGGTGAATAGAAAATGCCCCCCGCCGCAGCAAGCAATCTAGACTACACCCCACCAGATGGAGGTTGGGGCTGGGCTGTCGTCTTTGGTTCTTTCATCTCCATAGGATTCTCCTACGCCTTTCCCAAGTCGCTGACCATCTACTTTAAGGAAATTCAGGAATATTTTTCGGTTTCCTACAGCCAGATTGCCTGGGTGTCCTCTGTCATGCTCGCCTCCATGTATGCAGGAGGTCAGTGTCCATAATACATCTTCAAAGTTTTTACACATCTTGACTGAGAAAGTACTTTCAGCAATATTTTTGTTATTTATTTAACTAATGCAGGTGTAGCCGTAGGAGAGTAAACTTTTAAGGAAATAAGGTACCAAAATAATGAGATGCTTCTCCCCTGTGTACAGGACCTGTGAGCAGTATTCTTGTCAACCGTTATGGCAGCAGACCTGTGGTTATGGTTGGTGGGGTCATGGTTAGTACTGCCATGGTCCTTGCTTCTTTTGGCCGTACAATCATACATCTGTATCTTTGTGTTGGAGTGATTGGAGGTAAATGCTGTTTATGTGTTTTCATTTGTTATTATTTTTAAAAAGTGCACTGTCTATAGATTTATTTGATGAATTTTTCTACTGAGGTTGCTGCTCCTCTCTGAACATTTGCTTTACGTTGCTTGATTGTGACTGGCTGACACAGGAGGATGCCACTAACTCCCATTCATGAGGAGGTTTGTCATTATCAGGGTCAGTCCACTATAACCCTTTGTGCCCCTGTTTGGAGTTAACCAGGGTCACATTGTGCAATGTGTAAATATGTACTCAAATCACTATGAAATATCCAAGCACTTCAAAGTCATACTAGATTTTGGTAAGCTTATTATTTTTTCGAAACGTGTGATTGGATCAAATGAATTTAGAAAATCCCTGCATCTTTGGTGCGTTCCAAAGATCACATGATCTTGCTACTAACAGTGAGTAAACAAACTTCTTAGACTTTAAACTGTAAGTGTGTAGAGATGCTCCACCCACTGGTGGTTTATTTGGACCACTGTGAACATAAAACATGAAGTCAGTGTTTGGAATTTGGGCTGCAACAATAATGTACAATCTGCAGATCATGTACTCAACAAAGTGAGTTTTTCAGTCCCCAAGAGTTTCAGCGCAATCTTTAAAAGTTGTCAAAGTTTGCTAAAGTTAAAGTCAAGGATAACCTCAAACCTGCCTCCTGTATCCTGTGTTTAACAGTTGCTTTTGCTTTTGTGTTTGATGACCATTTCATTTTTTTAAATTGCTATTCATATTTTATAATGCTTCTCACACAATTCTTCGATTGCTTATAAATTCAAATCATATTGAATCCATATAGCAACTAAATTGTCATCATCCAACTCCCTCAAGACGGACCTGTTATTTTAGTTGTATGATCCACCTTGAAATTAAAACCAAAATCTTAATTCCTTTCCTAACAATGTAAGCGAATCACTCTTATAAGCTGCTGATGAAGGAGGTTTGTCAATGTTCCCTTTAGGTAACTGTCATTTCTTTTATAGTTTGATTCTGTTAACGATGTAACAGTCTCAGTGTTTCACTATCTGTCTTCAAGTCCTAATGAGACGGTATTACGGTCAAAAGTTTTACAACATTATCATATTAATTTATCAAAATCATTTTTTTGTGTGTTTAACCACTTCTATGTTCCAACAGGTCTTGGCCTTGCCTTCAACCTGCAGCCGGCTCTGACAATCATTGGTACCTACTTCCAGGTCAAAAGGCCAATGGCAAACGGGCTTGCTATGACGGGAAGTCCAGTTGTTCTTTCCACTCTGGCTCCTCTCAATCAGTTTCTGTTTGATTGTTTTGGCTGGAGAGGGAGCTTCCTCATCCTGGGATCCATTGTTTTGAACTGCTGTGTGGCTGGTTCTTTGATGCGACCAGTAAACAAAAATGCCCTACCAAAGCTAAAGGCTGAACCATCGGAGTGTAACGGGCCCGCTGCTGAGGAAGCTGCCAGTGCACCATCAGCTAACCTTTTGACTGAGGAAAATCAAAGTGAGAGCAGGAGTCAGGGCTGTGTGGACAAACTCATTGATGTCTCTCTTTTCCGACACAGGGGCTTCCTCATTTACCTTGTTGGCAATGTGGTCATGTTTTTTGGCTTTTTCGCACCTGTGGTTTTCCTGGCTCCATACGCCAAACATCAAGGGATGGATGATTATTCAGCTGCCTTCTTGCTCTCTATTTTTGCTTTAGTGGACATGTTTATCAGACCAGCAACTGGCCTCCTAGGCAACACTAAGTGGATCAGACCAAGGATCCAATACTTTTTCAGCTTTGCTGTTTCCTACAATGGTGTGTGCCACCTTTTATGTCCACTGGCGGATGGATATGTGGGTCTGGTTGTTTACGCTGTCTTCTTTGGTTTGGCATTTGGGATGGTTTCTGCTCTGCTCTTTGAAGTTCTGATGGACCTTGTTGGGGCTCATCGATTTTCCAGTGCAGTTGGACTCGTCACCATCATAGAATGTGGGCCAGTGCTTCTTGGACCTCCAATTTCAGGTTTGTGAATAAAAATATAAAAAAAGAAAATTCAGATTAAAAATGCATGAAAAATGTAGAAAATCACAAAACAACATCTAAATCAGTTTGCATCTTCTCTTTCAGGAGCTCTGGTTGATATATATGGGGACTATAAATACATGTACTACGCGTGTGGAGTGTTTATGCTGGTGCCTGGCATATTTTTCTTCATCATGCATTACTACAACTACAAGAAGCTGGACGAGGAGCGGAGGCAGGCAGTGGCTGTGGATATGAGGACTTGTGAAGAGGCAGTGGAACTTAAAACAAGCCAGGATGAGAAAACAACGCATGAAACGGATGGATAAACTTGCTGACTCTGATTCCATTATAAGTGGAAGATGACCCCACAGAGGCCTTGCAGCAGGGCATACAGTATATGGGGTATTATTGATAAAAAATATATTTTCTACTTTGGATGAGGTTGTTGGACTCTTTGGACTTTTGTTACATACTTTTAGATCAGCATTTGGTATTTTAATGGGTATTTTATGTGTGTTATTATTATTAGATTATGTGGCAAACATAAACTCTTAAGGGCTTCATTCATAAATCATCAGGCAACACCTCCAGTACAATTATCGTAATGTCTCTATAAACATTTACAATTCCTATTTGTTTCTTTAGTGGCTGAATAAATAGTAATTTTCCTGGGGGACTGATATGAAATAATGAGTCAAAACCTCCATGGAGCCAGTCCACAGCTGTTTATTATCCTACTTTTCCACTAGATGGCACTAGTCACTCTAATGTGAGAACTAAAGGTGCTGCACATGCTTCTCATTAAACTGGAATTTAACAAAGGATATCTTCATTGGTGTTTTGGGTTTTTACAGCATAGCTTTCAAAGTCTGGGTCGTGACCCTCCCATGAGCCTCCAGATCTAATGACTAAGGGTCGCTAAAGGCACAGCAATTAAAAAATGAGAAATGAAATGGCTGTTGTAAAGACTACGGAATATTTCTCTTAGAATACCTGCCCTGAAGCCCCCCTCATACTGCTCATAAATGAAAGTCTCGATTTAAGAGAAAATTCTTCATTCATTCTTAAAGTTTTAGTCAAAAGTAAAATTCATTTTCTATGTCTTGGGGATTTGCATGAGTTGTTTCACTGGGGCATCACTTAAGTACATAATAAAAATTCAGTTTGCAGTTGTGTTTTTGAAACTTTATCAAGTAAGTTTGGGGACCCTACGTGCATTTAATATTCCGGTCGTCTCCGTACAGGAACATTAGGGATTCGATCCCTAGCTCCTGCAGCCACATATCCAATGTGTCCGTGGGCAAGACACTTTACCCCAAGTTGCTCCTGCTGCTTCGGTGGAGGCGTATGAATGTGTACGAATAGGATTAATTAGTACCAATGGACACTATACATAGCATCCTCTGCCTTTAGTGAGTGAATTGGTGTGAATGGGTAGGTGTGACCTGTGGTGTAAAAGTGCTTTGAGCAGTCAGAAGGTTAGAAATGCACTAAACAATCTCTAGTCCATCTACCATTTCAAAGTAAGACACCATTTGCATGTGAAGGTGAAGGGCTGAAATCTTAAACTTGGCCTCATTGACATATTAAGTATCATACATAACACATAATGCATTTACCACTTTTTTTCCACTAATTCAAATCGCTTTCTTTAGTGACACTTTCTCGAGTGGAACACATTTGTATTCTGTGCACCGTGAAGAACTCCAAAGATTCTGACTCATCTACCTTAAGAGAATATTCTGACTGCAGATACAATCTGTCATTTTATGCCAGGTCGTCTCATCCTACCACAGGTCAAACTTTATATTCTAAACTTTATATGCAGACATATTGCATGATTACACCCCCTTAGTGTCTGGCCTTGAGCACCTACCACACAAGATACATGGAGGAGCCAAGCAGGAAAAGAACAATGCCATTATTAGAGAGATCTGCTTAAAGGATCCATTTTTATCACGTCCCTGCAAGGTGCTTATTGACTTCCTTTTGTAGATGGACCAAAATTGCTAAAGTGAACAAATCAATATGTTTATTTATAAGCTAAGATAACATTATCTGGAAATGAGATTAACAGTGCAAGCTTGTGGCTTCTGGTTTGGGTTGCCTTCTCTTTGGATCCTGCAATGCTGCTCCTTATGTTTAATGTTACCCAGTGTTCATGTTATCTTTCTATATTACTGTTGGGTTATTTATTTACCTAGACTCAATTGATTTAACATAGCAAAGTCCAGTTTCACCACAGACCTGGAACGCACGTATTCTTGATGTTTAGACATTGAATAGTTAGGCAGTGGTTGAGGAAGAAAAGAGATAAAAGTAACAAAACCACATTTTAAAAATGACATATTTTGAAGTAAAGGTCTTAGAATAAAGGACGTAGGCTGAGTAGAAGTACATAACATCAGAAACATGCAAAGTTTCTTAAGTTAAAACGCAACTGACGAGAAATATGTGAGAGTGTATCATTAGAAAATCATTAGAATATGATGGATTATGAATGAACTTCCAGTACTTCACCTGACTGCAACTAAAGATCATTCATTAAATATACATGTATGTATTTTCTTGCTCAAACATTTAATTGAGTGGTTTGTAAAATCTAAGACAATGGGTACAAATGCCAAAGAGCCTCAGATAGCATCATCAAATGTTGTTATCAAGGCTGAACTGAAAAATCCTTTTGTGCTACTTCAATACAAGGAATAGTTATCAATGTGTTTAGGAAGATGAAAGACATTCATTTTCATTTTGGCCATGTACTTTTTTTTTAACAGTAACTTATTGTACTTCTACAACAGGCTTATCAACTGAACAACTGATCTTTAAAGCTAAAGTTTTATTCATTTATGATGGTTAGTTTTGTTTCTATTACAATGGAGCGTTTTTGTAAACTAAAATTTTTGGACTAATTTCTTTTGATAGCTGTTATATAAATCTATTGGAGTAAAAAAATATCAATTTAAACCATAAATAAATAGTGAAATGTAAGTTTAAACCAGCTGGAATAGAGGCAATTGACACCCATATCATTTGAGTGTTTTAAGGGAGATAATGTCTGTATCAATATTATAGTGCCGATATGTGGCACAGTACTACAGCTGTCATTAACTTTAATGGAAGCATTTTCAGGTTAATGAGGAGACACAAAGTGAGAGAGTGAAAACCTCCAATTAATGGCAGCTCCCATAAACTCTGTGTCAACTCCTCTGTGAACAGCTTGAGCATAATCACTGTGATGAACTGTGACTGATGTCACTAAATCTCCCTTTAATTGGGACCAGAAAGATTGAATCCAGGCAGCGATGCGTCCAATCCCCACGTCGACTGCCACCCTATCGAGACGCCATGTTTGAACCGCCCTGCTGGTTCAACCCCGAGTTCTGTTTTAACTGGGATGTCTGTAAAGACGGGAGTGATACTATTTAATCCTACATGTTTGTTAATAATCTCTGTTAATCTTCTTTACCCACAGCGGCAGAACTAATCTGTCTTCACAATGTTTACACTTGGAGGGAGGGCAACGTCATGCAAATAGCAGAGACTTAAGAGTTTATTCATCAGCCCTGTGGACAGAGCTATTAATGACACACCGCTGGTCGAAAATAAACATCCATAGACAGGGCTGCTAACACGGACACACACAGGACGTCTTGATATGTTGCAGATAGGGGTGCGATTGCAGTTTCATTCTATACAAGGAGCTCTCAAGGACTCAATCACACCTTGTGGAGAGTAGAGACACTTTGTCCTGTAGTGTGTCTTAACTGACTGCTGAAACACAAGATTTACTGAGATCATTTGGGGGAAAACGAGGCACAGAGTTCCCTACTCACAAAATCGATAAGCTTTCCAAACAGCCACCATAACAACGATGGAGGTCACCTTGATATTTACATAAGAGTACAATTATCTGTGTTCTCCAGATATTCTTAAAAAATTGAGACAACATCTGAATGTTTTGGGTGAAAAACAGAAGAAGTCGAGATTTAGTTTCACAGTCCTTTGAGCCAGAATCAGAGTGCTACAAAATTCTCAGACAGCTGATAATTCTCATTGTTAATATACATATTGAAGATACATTTGTAAACATATATATATAGTGAGCTGTGTGTACCAGTTTTGGAAAATAACAACAAATATACTTACACACTTGCACAAAACAACTAAGAGGTACTTTTAATTTTCTGCAACTTTGCACTTCTCTTTTATGTTACAGAAGATATTTACTTTATTATTCACTTTTTTGCGGAGCATTTTACAAGTGACCTGCAAAGTAGCATTTTACCTAAAAATAAGCCAAAAGCTCATAAAATACTATGCATTATTAAAGATAAAACTAGGGCTGAGACTGATGAATATTTATATTGAATGAATATTTATGAATATTCATCGTTTAGTCTTCAAAATGTCAAAAATCAGTAAAGAATTTCCATGTGTCACATTCAATCATTCTGGACTCGTCGTGTCTTTTTGGCACCACCAACATCCATAGGCCAAAGATATTCAGCCCGCAGTGGTTATAAAACAGCGAGGAGAAGCAAATCCTTAAATTACACCAGCTGAAACCTGTATCTTTAGGGGCACTTATGATCAAATTGTTCATTTCTTTAATGTGAGTTTATTAATCAACAACTTCGGTCCCAAATTACCCAAGAATATCCCATGATTATTTCATACTTAGCTGCAAGCTCAACCTCAATCAAATGCACCATTAAAATGCAGCTTAATCTATCAATCACAACCCAAGAATGTAATATATATTAATATAACAATCAGAAGGGGGCATTATACATAATACGAGTCCATGCTTTGGATACTTTGTGGACATTTTTCTTCTAATACTTTAACTCTAATTTAGTTTGACCTGAACCACAACTGTATTTATTGTGGGGGTTTTTGTTTTGTTTGGCCACATGGGGGCAGCGGTACAGGTTGTGAACCCTACATCGACATAAACTCCTGGGAGAAATATGTTTCCAAAGCTCTACAATGGTTGATCTGCTGGTGGGACTGCTAGTGCCAGAGACAATCACTACAAGAGTGTTGAGAGTGGATTAAAGCAGTAATGGCAGGCCTGACAATTAAAGAATGAACTGAAACTTGATGAAAAGTTTTGTAAAAGCCCAGAATACCTGTAAACTTTAAAGGTGATGCTTTCTATTCGGTGTGCATGCATTGTTATTTAAACAATCTATGGTTATAAAATGTTGTTGTATCTTTATAAAAAATGGACATAGCCACAATGACATTAGCCATTGGTTTGTGCTTTTAATTTGGCATTCTGGCAGTTGTAATCTTTTTTTTTTTGAGTGCAAAGTAACCATTTTTTGGTTGAAATGGGGCAGGGACTGTCAATTAAATATAGCCATGCCCTAAAACAGACCATGCTTTATTGTTAATTTTACTCCAAGTGTAATTTGTGTCTTCCAGAGACCAGGACAGTTTGGTAATACAGACACTCGACCAGGCGGAACTGTGCCGCTGCTGCAGCTGGTCATCAGGCATCCTTGTGGAATACAAATGTGACAAAGCAGATCCCTGATGAACACGGCCATGTTTTAAACTCAGACAAAAGAGGGAACTTAAACCCCTCAAACTACTCAATCATGACTAATGCTTGTAAAAGAAATTGAGTCGCAAAGCAAAGAGACTTAATGAGATTATGTTACACATAATTAACAATCTGTGAAACACATTTCCCAAAACCGAGAACAGTACGTCTTTTTTGTCCGCCGTCAAGCCTAAGAATGTGTGAATTATCGTCCAAACACACATTTAGCCCACTTTTCAGTGTTGACAATGCAGAGCCCCTGACCAATATGCTTAATCTGCCACTCAAAATACATTTAGCCTTTGTGAGAACAAATGTGCACCACTGAAATTCTGGTCGTAGAGACTGTCTGCTGCCTATTAGAACCATTGTTCCTCTTTATCTGGCAAACACAGACAACCACTGAAGCTGGCATGTCGGGGACGCTGGTGCTGTTTTCTGCATATTACAGGAAGAATAA